ACTTAAGCTACTATTACTAACTGAATCGTTTAAATATAACAAGCGTAATGGACTGTTGTCTGTATTCCACAAACCAAATATGTATATCTTATTGGGTGTCAACACTTGAGCACGATCATATCCGTTTAGATATCATTGATATCTAGGTTCCCTAGATATAGAACACAATGAAAGTTCCTATATTGAAATATTCAATAATATATACGTATATCTTCAAAGGTGCTTATTTCTCAAGAAATATTTGGTCAACATTTTTAAATAGGAGGGTGTAAATAAAATAAGTTACATTTCTTTTTTATTATAATATAATTATTTTTTTTATATTTATTCTAAAAATCTTATTTTATCATATTATAAGCTTGTAGTTAGTTAGTCCAAGTTAGATTTTTTGAACAAGAAAAAGAAAGAATTATTGCCATCTTTTAGGCGAAAATTTAAAGCAGTCCTGTTTTTTCTATTTGTGGAATATGTTGGAAATGGTTTGGAACTTCGGAAGCGCGTCTTAGCTTATGCGCTTTTCGCACTGTGACTTAGCTTATGTTAACATAACATAACATTTGAAAAATGTGTCGATGATTGAAGCTGAATGCTATATTACAAAATATTATACGAGAGAGGCCTATTTCAAAAAAGGTAAACGATCATTGAGGAAATAAGTACTAACCGATACCAGATATCTAAAGCTCTCGAGTGAAGAGTTCTTTCTTGTTTTACAATTATCGAATTGATATTAAAACTTATTTGAATTATTCGAACTCGCTATCCAACGACATTGTTGTCGTTCGCAATTATGAATGTATTACAAGAAACGGGTAAATAGTACACGGATATGAATAGTACAACCATTAATTTATAAGAAAGCTGCATCTACATATGTACATATATGGTTTAAGGTAAATACTCGAATTTCAACAAATGTCCAACAGAATAATTAAATCCGCAGAGCAGTATGCAAGGAAAATATTTTTTCTTTAGTTTATGTCTTTACAATGTTTCCATACATTGAGATAAGACTATTTTGAGATAGGTGTAAGCCCACAATAAAGATTTTTTTTACTATTTAATATGCTGTGATATCGAACTTTAAAAGATTCGTATCTTAGATATTGCAGGCCACGGAATGTTACACACAACACCAACTCAATCGATTTTAGCTAATAATACTACTTTAGGGTTTTAAGCTGCTTGCAAACTTACTCTTGAACTTCAACTAGCAGATACCCATTATTCGCACTTGCTGCGAGGAAGTTAGAGATACAGATGCAGTAATGCGTCGTTTTCCAAAGTTAAATAATTGCTAAAAACTTTTTAATTTTCCTTTTTTTTTTAAGAAATGTTTACTTATAGGAAAAGCGTACTACTACCATCTAGGCAACTTAATCTGAAAAATGAAATTTCACTTGTACGCCTAAGTCGTCTTGCTATTCTGGTTCTGCTATGCTGGGGAGTGAATCCAGTCTCTCCTGGTATTTTTTGGCCACCTCTTGGATTTTTATTCCTATATTGGGGACCTTGATATCACGTTCAATATCAGTGCTCCTTATATACCACGGAGCACCGGTGATTTTGCGTAGAGTTTTCGACTGTAGTACTCGTAATTTTTAGATGTAGGTATCCAATACTTGGATAGCACTTACAGATCCTAACTTTATTTTCCAGGGACAGCTTGTTTCTTGGTGCCATCAGCCAGGACAATAGTGCATTCTTGCAGTTGAATGCTTGCTGTACCGAGGTGAAATGCCTTCCAAAGGTTAATCTCTGTCTAGAATGACTGCAAGGTATTTGTAATGGGTCTTATGCTCTACAACTGTTCCATTAAGTGAGGCACTATGGCAGTTTTCAATCCGGTTCGCGAATGTAACATTTCCACATTTGTCTGCGTTAATGCCGATGTTCCAATTCGCAGCCCAGTTCTGAAATGCGTATAAGTATTGCTATAGTCCGCTAGTTGCTAAGTTAAGAGTTTCTACTTGTTAAGCATATGCTGCAATTAAAACCTTATTCCGAATACATCTGGCTAAACATCTGTATGAGTGGGCATATCTGCGGTGAAAATGGAATACAATGTAGGCCCCAGAACACTTCCTTGAGGAACGCCTGCCGCAATGCATTTAAGAGAAGACTTGCATCCATCAGTTGTCACGCAAAATGTGCGTTCCTGCAAGGAGCTTTTCCAAGTTGAAACAGCTGTGGTGTGAGAAGTTTAATTTTTCCAAGGGACGGAAGGAGGCTGATTGGTTTATAGAAGTCCACCTCAGTTGGTCGTTTTTCTGGATTGAGAACCATGATGATGCTGGCAGACTAATCAGAGTAATCCTCTAAGATTACTAAGATTACTAAGAACCGCAACATTCGAATGGTTCTGTTATCAAGAAGGTCCTCAGGGATTCTTTGGTTTTAATTTAGGGACAAGACACTGCAATTCTTCAAGATTGACTGGATCGACAGGAAGTTCCATTTGGCCATTTTGGCATTTCTAACGACACCGCGTTTCTCCAGGTTGCTAGCAAAAGCTTCTGCTTCCTGAAGAGTCCCTTTTAGAGGAATTTTTAGTATGCCCAGAAGAAGGACACGGACTGGACTCCTATGGCTTATTGTCCATCCTCTAACAGCTGTAGGTGTTCTACCCTCTACTGCTGAGCCTACTATTATATTATGCTGTCACACGTGATTAATATGGTTATGGGTGTCACATCGAAGAGTAATTAGTCCCTGCTTAAAGTAAGCTTATCGAAGTGACCCAGTGAAGTGAGTCAAATCAATCAATTCGCCTCCCATTCGACTTGGTGATATATTAGCTGTGAAGGCGATTGATGCACATGTGTATAATTATCTTTATTCTCCGATTATTCTTTATAGTCCCTGGCGATACACAATAACTAGTGACGGTGGAGCTTGGCTTACCACTTTAACGTCAAGTTGTTGGCACTGACTAACGGCTCTGGAGTTCATTTCCCTAAAGAAAACTGGCCACAACTTGCCACTGAATATAATTAATATAAACAATATATTATATCGCTTGATAACAAACTATGAGTATACTTTTACCCAGTGCAACTACTGCAAAACAGTTACAAGCTATAACTGGGTTAGCCCGCGGTTTTCTAAACCAAAGGGATGCCTTACAAATTCACCTTTGTTGCTTGAACTGAGCCATTGTGGCTTATCTAAACCTGTTAGTTAGGCTTTACTGTTACTCATTTAATCGACTTGATTACAAAACAAGAGAGAACGCTGTAGTCGAGTTCCTCGACTATCGGATACCCGTTACTGAGCTGGTGTGATTGCGAACGAGAAATTTCAACATTTTTTCGGCATATCGATAGAAATTTGCAAAACCAATCAAAAATAGCAATAATCCATTTTTTAAAAGTGAGGGCGTTGCAGGTTTTTAAGTTTTGTGGGCACTGGAGTAGGCGTGGCAAAATGTTTTTGGTATACTATTAGAAATGGGGCAGGCGAAAAAAAATGTAACCATTACTCAAAAGTATGGGCGCGACAGTTTTTGGCTGTTTGTGGGCGCTAGAGTGGGCGTGACAAGAAGATTTTTGGCGTGCCGAAGGAAATTGACAATTGACAAATAATAAAATGGAAGAAACATACTTCAAATTTCTCGGCGTGAACTTTTTGGTCTATGTCCCTGAAGTCATAATCGAAACTTTCAATTTTTATAGGTTCTGAGATTGAGGAATGTTAATTTTTTTATCAACCCGAAATATACAAGATTTGTATACAAGAATTTAAATCTTTAAAGAATTTTATCAAGTTGCCAAATGCCTCGTCATAAATGGGGCAGGCGAAAAAAAATGTAACCATTACTCAAAAGTATGGGCGTGGCAGTTTTTGGCTGTTTGTGGGCGCTAGAGTGGGCGTGACAAGAAGATTTTTGGCGTGCCGAAGGAAATTGACAATTGACAAATAATAAAATGGAAGAAACATACTTCAAATTTCTGGGCGTGAACTTTTTGGTCTATGTCCCTGAAGTCATAATCGAAACTTTCAATTTTTATAGGTTCTGAGATTGAGGAATGTTGATTTTTTTATCAACCCGAAATATACAAGATTTGTATACAAGAATTTAAATCTTTAAAGAATTTTATCAAGTTACCGACTGCCTCGTCATAAATTTAGTGATGAATTCTTTATGAATTAAATTAGTAACAAATATTTAAAATAAAGTGTATGCTTGGAAAAATGTATTTTAATAACTTTGTGTTTCATGGAAAAATGAACATACTTCAATTTAATCGCATGATTTTTTAAAGGAGAGGTTAGCCGCAAAATGGAGTGTTCATAACTCACAAAGGTATTGGAGCATATGTAATAATTAAAAATGTCACTCTTTTACTATGCTTAAGTTACAAAGAATCTTACAATTTATTAAATATACATTACAAGGCCAAATGCTATGGGCGTTCAAAAATTAAATTCAATTAATTTAAATTAAATTAAATTTAAAGGTTATATTTGTCTGAACCCTTTCCTGGGAAACTGAGCATCATAAGTTACCAATATGCGTTAATAAGGGACCATGTAGTAACAGCGTGTTATTTAGTGACTGGTGGCCATTGGTACTATACATCACAATGTTCAAGCGTGATTCATTTTCAATTGCCGAAATCAGAGCTCCGATCCGCGGTGACTCACCTAGAAACAACTTCCACCGTTTGTATAGGTATCCTGATAAGGTTACCAATAGTAACCCTCCGCTCGTTAATCGCAGTCGAGATCCACGTCAGGATCATTTAGTACAATTGGAACACGCCGCGATAGCGATCTTTAAGTGAATTGCAAGTCGGCTGATAAGAGTTCGGATGGTACCGCATACACCTTACCGGCAGTCCTCCGTCTTCGTGGAGAATTCGTCCGGACTTATCTTATCATCGGCACTGCGTGGTCCGCTTAGTCTGCGCCAGTGTCAGGAGCACCGATGGCTAGTGGTTAGGGCTAGAGGTGCTGGTAACTAGCGGCTAGAGCCCACAAGATAGCACTAGCAGCGCTGTCGGCGTCGCCGCCACGGATGTGCTGGGTGGGTCATAGCTCAGTCGTGAGTTGCGTTGCGTTGCGTGCGGTCCGAGGTTCCGCCGACAATTGGGAACGAGGTCTAGACCCTAGTGCTTTGTTTTTAGCAGTGCGAATTCGGTAAATAAATAATCCCGTGGTATTAAAGTATGAAACTATGCAAATTGCCTGGGTGCAAATAGCACTGCGAGTGGAAAGCAGCTTAGGCCATGAGTTAGGATAGCCAAATTATCTTCGATACTTTGTCATCACCTGCGATAAGATACCTTCGGACCCACCCTGCGATCCGCAGGTTTTTGTGGCACTGCTAACCCGGATAGATAAAGCTTTGGTTGCCACTATCACTCCCCGAGCAAACGCCATTAACCTCGTGTAAACAAGAGTGCTGGGCCTCGTTTGATGGCTCCGCCAATGGACAGACCATAGGTGTTGGAGGTCTTTGGGTAGACTTGAGGACGGATAGTGTCAGATAGACACTATTAATCAATGTGACGCAGCCCCAGCCCGGGCTGAGTCAGAGCACCTGCTCCATCCCCAAAATCCGACCCGATTGGGAACTTACCACTTGCCACTTTGACAAACGAGCCGTCTACTCCCACTGGTCCCAACCAAATCCCTGCGCTTACAGGCTTTCCTATCAGCATTGATAAGGGAAGCTATTGACGGAGCAACATCGTCCGTGGAATGGCGACGCTCAGTGCGGCGCGTAGGCAAAAGGCAAAGTCCCCGGGCCGTGAAGAATGGAAATGTTTGTGCGGATCCCATATGGGCACGCATCATCGGAAAGAAACATCTGGCGCACTTCGGGAATGCCAAGTTCACTTGAACCCCTGACGGCTAATGGGTGAAATGCCTCCAGTGCATTTCCAACATTGCTCTGCAGGCAGCAATTACGACCTGCAATTGATTTGGCCTAATCGCTGTAATTACATCTATTACCGAATCAATTAAACAAATGTTCTGCTAGCGTGGCGCTTCTTAAATCTTTCCCACACCCATCGGAAATCACATAATTTCAATGCCAGGACAGAATCCTTAATTTAGAAGCGAGTTCAAATAAAATCGCGATTCCTAAGGGTCAATCGAAAGTGGATAGCAGTTTAATGATAAGCAAGACTTTGACTTTAATGGATACCTTGGAATTCAGATAATAGGTGCAGATATTTTTACTCCAAGCATACATATTTGGCTTTCAATAGATTACGTTATCATAGTTCCATACTTTGCTTTGAAACTACAAAATGACATACATCAAATATATAGGAAATGCTTCATGAATTATAAAATAATATTATAAAATATTATAATTAAATATAGCTGTATATATGAGGGTTCTTTAAAGCACTTTTTGGGAATGATCCAGTTGATCTGTAATACCCCCAAAATTGACCCCCTCCCTAAGTAAAATAATAATGTGCATTATATATTTAATTGACCGTGTCTGGTACAATATGACATCATGCTGCTGCTGTGCACGCAAAGTAATTAATAAAAATAATCAGTGGATGTAATATGCTCGTAAAGGAACAACAAAGTCTTATCCGATTGTTTTTCGCATTGCAGTTGTCAAATTGATGCCCATCGAGATGGATATGCCAAAGGAAGCGGAGTCGGCAGACAAGTTCATAGTGAAGTATCGCCAGCAGTATTACGACTTGTCCAAGTTTATGCGCAAGCATCCGGGAGGCATAAACACACTCAAAGGTCTCAACAACGGGGACATGACAGCTCGCTTCCTGAAGGCGCCGCCACATTCGGATGCGGCCATGTACTTGATGAGGGAGTACAAAATCGATCCAAAGGACTCTCGAAAATCAAAGTCGAGCCAAAAAGAAACGTTGCATCATTATGATGATGGGGAGTTGCGGCAACGACCGAGGGAAACCGAGGACACGAACAACAACCAGGTGGACGAGAGTATGGAGGTAAGTTGGATGAGCGGTTTTTAATAAGTATCTCTAGTTGCTGGTTGATCGGATCGCTCGTTATGTTGTCAGAATGCTATTGGGTTAGGTCTACGATCCAAATCTCAGCTAAAAAATATATAATCAACGTAAGGCATAGTTGAAAGGAACACGCGTGTTTTGGAAATCCAAGTTTCCAGTAGCTCAGTCGATGGAATGCTTCAAGGTTTTTGGGAGCTACACGAGTTTTCACAATTGGCGCGACTTGTTGGCCAGCACGAAGACCTTTGCCTTGGAGTATATGCGGATGTCCTCCTCCACTATGGTCAGCTCCTTGTCGATCTCCGCCTTGCGGTTGCGCACCCTCAACGTCTGCGCGGTCATGGGCATGTGGTTCAGTTCATTGACAAGCTGCTCGTAGCCTGTAAAGAATGGTGGTATAGTTAACATGGGTCGAATTTATAATAGTAAAATTAACTGACGTTTTTTAGCATTGGTGAGGTGCGTCAGTCGGTCCTGATCGCTGAGCAATACATGGCCACGGGGACAGTCGGGATCCAGCGATTCCGCAAGCTGCTTAGCCACTTCCTTTTCGCGCTTCTGCTTTTCCAGGTAACGCGGCAAGCGCACCTCATCTCGGGCTGTCATAAAGTGCAAATTTGTAGTTAGTTTAAATCAAATAGCTTTTACTTAATGATGTTAATGTGTAGTAGGAAGGCAAGAATAACATGTACATACTAGTTTTTTAACTAAATCGTCGAAATCGTATAGATATATGTATAATATGGTGTTTTAATTTGATTGTTAGATAGTTTTAGGGCCATCAGGATGGAATTTAAGATGTTAAAAATGAAATTTATTTTTGCCATAACTGCCACAATTGCTAAATTTTGATCGTCCACGCTACAAAGGACTACAAGGGATATACTCACATCCCAGTTTATGCTCTCGACGCTTTGACTTAGAGGTGATGGTGGTGACATTGGAGGCCGTTGTGAAGCGACTACGAGCACTAAGTGGTGCCTCGTCGTCCGAAGCGCCGTAGTTTGTAGGCTCGACCTCGGTCATGGGCATTGCCTCCGCTTCGGACATATGGAATCGACTCTGCTTCGAAGAGTTCGATCGCGCTGAAAGTGGCAGCTGTTCCAATTCTTCCTCGTTTTCATATCGCATTGGCTTGTAGTTTTCCCTGTAGTTTGTACCGGGTTCCTCCATTATAGATCTAGCATCAAAGTTGCATCTGGGGATAAGAGAAACCTTAATAGAAACCTTCGAGCATGCTGCAAAATTCATACTTTTTAAGAGCATTTGTTAGATAGAGCTCGTCAGTAATGTCCTCAGTTTGAATGGCTATGCTGGTGGAGCTCCGATTTGTGCCACACGATTGACAGCGTTCTAAGGTTGGATCCGAAGAAGACTCTAAGAGATTATGGGATTCAAAATCCTCCGACGGCTCATATAAGATGGGATTGCGCTCCTCCAGACCATCGAAGCGCTCGCCTTCCGCCGGAACTGCCACGGCCAGTTGCTGCTGCGAGCGAGAGGTGCTGCAGGCATTCTGGAACGAGTTCTGTTTTTCGGGCTTTCCCCTAGCTGCCGGTTTCTCCATCTTCGACTCCCCCATCTCGGAGGAAGTGCGTCGCAGCGAAGGCATCCATTTCGGGCGTACTGGCTCTTTAGCAGCCAACTTCTGGCTGGTGGACTTCTCCAGCGAGCGCAAGCTCACCTTGTTTTCCTTCAGGAAGTTTCTGGACTGTGTGACGCCTGTGGGAACGGGGACCAAAACAAATTACCATCTGGTTGCCATGGCCAATCGGCTGTTTGGAAAAAAATCTTACGCGGCACCGAAAAGATGCCCTTTAGCGTTGGAATCGGGCGAACTGAAGTATTCGACATGTTCCACCTACTCCCGGACTATAACTAGGCGTCTGGAACTCCAGATATGTGATTTCGACTACGGCGAGTGGAAACTGCGTCGTTATGTGTAAAGTAAGGGGCAGGTTCAAATGACAATTTTGAACCAGCTGCTTGTGATTGTACCTGCTCATCGATGCTCGATAACATTGAGTATCGGTTCGGTGCTGCCTTGCGACTGGCCACACCATATTGAATTAACGGTTTATGGAATATCCTTCTTCTTAAATAGTTTAATAAAATGAAATGAAATGTTTACTATTCTATAATAGTAACGGTAAAATCGACTTTGAACTCTGTAGTTTACTCAACACCGGGACTTATTTAAAAAAAATATTTTTCTAAGGAAGTTATCAGTAACAACAATATTTAACTCTTCTCAAAATCAATTTTCGGTTCCAGCACCTGGTGGACTGGTCAAAGGCAATGCTTCCCCAGATAGCTAACATAACGGAGTGCTACGATGAGTGGGTGCACAAGCCGGTGGACAGGCCACTGCGTCTCTTTGGTCCTTGGTACTTGGAAATGTGCACAAAGACGCCCTGGTGGCTGGTGCCCCTCTTTTGGATTCCGGTGATCATTAAATGCGTCTTGGAGGAGTTAACTAGCGCCTGGCAGGATAGGAACCAGGTGAGCAGTCACCTATATATCGCATCCTTGGGATACGATCTAAAATTACCTTGTTCTTGCAGCTGGCTGTGTTCTCCGCTTACTTTTTGTTTGGCGTGCTCCTGTGGTCTTTCCTGGAGTACACACTCCACCGCTGGGTGTTCCATGTGAAGCTGACCAGTAAGAGCGGAAGTTGGCTATGCACCTTCCACTTCATGATCCATGGGCTGCACCACAAGGTGCCCTTCGATCCGATGCGACTAGTGTTCCCGCCTCTTCCCGGTGCAGTGCTCGCTAGTATCATCTACACCCCGCTTAGCTTCGTCCTGTCCCATCCTCGAGTGGTTCTGTCCGGAGCTCTGGCCGGCTATCTGTGCTACGACATGATGCACTACTACCTGCACTACGGGAACCCCTCGCTGCGGGCCTTTGTGCACATGAAGCGCTATCACCACCATCACCACTTTTCGCACCAAACCCTCGGATATGGCATCAGCAGTCCCTTGTGGGATGTCGTCTTCAAAACAAGAATCCACCTCCGCAAGTTGAGATACCAACTGCGTTGGTCCTAGTTTCAATAACTGGCTATTATAGTGCTACTACAGAACAAATTAAATTCAGTTTCAACGAATCAGCGTTGTTGCCGCAGCAGATAATTCAATCAAATCGGATATTTGATTTATATCAGATTTGTGTGGGCTGAATATTGAGTTAATTGTATTACTGAGTTAGGCTTAAGAATTATTTGTAAGATTTTTACCCATTTCTATTAAAGAGGAATAAACTTCCAAAACATAAACATAAACATAAAATTGATGCAAGGTTTAGCAATTAATTTGGGAAAAAACAACAAAAGATTATATCACATTAACATGAACAAAACAGTCTTAACGAGGTAATTCAATTTAAAATTAAGACTAAATTCAAGAAATGTACGAACCTCTATATGATGTCTTTTTTCTTTGATGAATTTTTAGTTCCTAAGCTAAAATCTTAATCATCTCTACCTTGTTTAGATTTTTATACCCGTTACTCATAGAGTAAAAAGGACTTTTCGTTGAAAAGTATGTAACAGGCAGAAGGAAGTGTTTCCGACCATATAAAGTAAATAAAATTAATTGAAAACAAATTAAATAAACAAACAAGCAGACAGACAGACTGCACATAATTCTAAGCTGTGGTTAATCATTTATCTATTAGGTACAAATCTGATACATTCTTTTTGTCTTGCGTGTAACTAGTATAAGTTTCTTTTTATTAAAACAACTAAAGTAAATAATATTTTACTTAAGTTAGAGATATTCAAATTTTTCCGAGTTTTTGTATCCCATGTCTACAGATAGAATTTCTCATTGGTGCTGCTTGGTCACACTACCAAGAATTCAGCGAAAGTTTTGTTTATTTTTGTAACCCAATTTCTCCTGCTGGAATAATGCTAAATGCCAAGATCGGCAAGGTCGGCAAAGTACTGGTGTGTGGGATGAAGGGCGTGGGCAAGACGGCGCTGATAGAGCAGCTGGTCTACGGCCACGTCAATCCAGAAACGGTGAGAAAGCCTTTGACCGTGCTCAAAAGCTGGTAGCTCATTGCCAGGATTTTATTGCAGGAATTGCATCCAACCATTGAGGATATCTACGTAGCCAGCGTGGACACTGGCAGAGGCGGAGCTCGAGAAACCTTGCGCATCTACGACACGGCGGGATTGCAGGGCGAGCAGCAGCTGCCACGCCACTACCTCCAGTTCCCAGATGCATTCGTATTGGTCTACGATCCCATGGACCCGCGCAGCCTGGACATGTTGGCCGACATCAAGGCTGACATTGAGAAGCACAAGGAGAAGAAGGAGATTCCTGTTGTGGTGCTGGCCAACGTAAGGGCACGGGCAGCCCCAAATCCCGTGGAGAAGGTCATGGACCGCGCAAACATCTGGTGCCAGCGAGAGCGCATTAAGCACTACACTGTGAACGCCATGGAGCGACCCTCACTATACGAGCCCTTCACTTCGCTGTGCGCCCGGCTGCATCCGATCCAGACGAAGAGCACGTTCCCTCAGCTGCGCCAAGTTATGCAGAACCGGCAGAAGAGCGAGGCCTAAGTGCTCTGATTGTCCGAAGGGGGGAGATAGTATATAAGTTTTATTCAGGAGTGTTCTCAAAATCTCAGCGACTTTGCTTTAAGTTAAAGAGATTTTCGGGTCCTCCCCAATCGTATCGTATTGATCAATTTAGAGTCTACTTGCCTTGTATTATCTGTTGTGCTTTAATGTGGCCCAGAGCACGGCCCACTTGTACTTATGTCTGTTTGTGAGTGTCCAATTGTATCTACTATTTATTACACCGACATGTCTTCTCTCATTCCGCGAGAATTAAGCGTAATCAGTATTCAATGCCCAATCGCAGCTCAAATGACGCGTAGTGATTAAATAACCATGCCGAATTTCTGCTCTGCGGAAATCCCCTTGGATCAGTCGTCTACTAGCACCTTCCTTGTGCGCAATGATTTCGCGTGCCGCCTTTCTTACTGCTCTTCTCACGCTGATCTGTGCCAGCCATGTGGCTTTGTCATTGAGCATAACAGTTCCGGGCACAAAGTGGTGCGGACCCGGGAACATAGCAGCCAACTATGATGACCTTGGCACTGAGCGAGAGGTGGACATGTGTTGCCGGGCGCACGACCACTGTGGGGAAAAGATTCCGCCGCTGGAGGAAGCCTTTGGCCTGAGAAACGACGGGATTTTCCCCATGTAAGAGTCGATTCCATACATGCAGATGTGGATCAATAATCGCGCGATCCCCGCAGATTCTCGTGTTCCTGCGAGGCTGCCTTCCGGAGCTGTCTCACCGCTCTGCGAAACGGCCATTCCCTGGCTCTTGGCAAAATCTACTTCAACACCAAGGATGTGTGCTTCGGCTACGGACATCCCATCATTGCCTGCCAGGAGAAGCAGGCCGACTTGTTCGAGACTCGATGTCTCAGCTACCGAGTGGACGAAGGTCAGTCGCAGCGGTGGCAGTTCTACGACTTGGCCCTCTATACCCACGTTAGCGGCAGCGCGGAGGATTCCCGGGATTGAACTTCGACGTCCAGCGATAAGCCCTCAATTGTTTACAAAACAGATTGTACTGGTGGCGAAACCTAAAGTGATTAGGATTTTGAAGGTAGGTTCTTTGTGTAATCAGTTTGTAATGCTATTACGCCTGGTATTTTATTAAAAATTGTATATTGAAACGCAGTTAATTGCAATGGATTTAATTAACATTTCAAATGGGTGTGTTAGAATCACCTAACCACATATATAATAGGATTGCTTATTTAATGCGATGTGTGTTTCAGGTAATATTATCTTCTTTCTCGTCTACAAATCGTTCATCCCATGTCAGCCCGCTGACGCTGGGATTGTGAAAAACGGCATGTCGTAGAACTGCCAAACCTTGGCCCTCGACTTGTCCACCTGGTAGCGGATGCAGCGCTTGCGGAAGGTGCCCTCCTGGTACTGCTTGCACCCGGTGGTGGGATATCCGTTGGCGAAACACCTGCTCCTGCTGCCATAGTAGACACGTCCCAGGGTATTGGAGGTGATGCTGTTCACTGCCTGCAGGCAGTTGATGAACTGCTGCTCGCAGGTGCACTTGAGTCTAAATCGAAAAGGGGCGGTCGTCATTGTGCACAAAATCGATATGGGGCTTCAGGGGAGCCAATTCTTACATGGGAAACCAGTCCGTGTTGGTGGGCAGTCCGTGGAGTGCACCATGGGACTCGATAATCTCGTCGCAGTGGTCGTGGGCACGACAGCACTTGTCCGTCTCCCGTTCTCGGCCCAGATCCTCGAAGTTCACCGCCGTGTTGCCCGGTCCGCACCACTTGGTTCCGGGCACGGTAATACCCGTGTGTGGAACCGGTGGCAGCGCCTGGTTGTAGATGTCCTCGTCCTCGAAGATAGCCTCGTCTCCAAAGGCCCAAGCCATGGCCAGTAGGCCACAAACGAACGCTCCGCGCAGCAGCCACATGTCTCAGCTTCGGCCGTCGCAACACAACTAAGTATGATTTCGTTGGCTTGAGCAGCTTTTGCTCGAGCTGATAAGATGGCATACAACAAAATGAAGCCAACAGAGGCTGCAAATTAGTTAAATTCATATTTGTGGTCCTATAAACTATGTAAAAATTAAGTTGCTTTTTTAAATGGCCTCTAACAATAGTTTATTAGTTTTAACAATCTATACACTAGCTAAGTATATCTTTAAAAGCTTCGGTGGCTGTCTTGGCCGTCTTCCGCTTCGTCTCCTTTGGCTGCTCTGTGTCCAGATGCTTGGACAAACTCTCTTGCCACTGAGTAGGTGACAGCTTGTACGTGTCTAAGCGGTATTTTGTGTAGATGATGCGACCGTGGGGTGATCCTTTCAGCATATTGGCCTTGGAAAACAGTTCCTTGGCCATGCGCAGCTTCTGCGCATCTTGGGCGGCCTTAAAGCACTGTTCGAAAACGCGGGAACCATGCCGAGTGATGGCCAAGTCCACGTAGAAGCCATCCAACTGGCGGATCAGACGCTCTCGGGATTTTTCGCCGATAAACTTGCTCAGCATGAAGGCGTCCACGATGTGTGAGCCGTTGGGTGTGTTAAAGACCTGAGCCAGTTGTGTGGCGGGCAGATCGAGGATGCAGTTGACCAGAAAGATTGGCTTGTTAAACTGCAGCAGATGTTGTGCAATAAGCGAACCGTGTAGATGAACAAAGGTCGACTCGTCGCTGGTTACCACCTCAAAGGGCTTTAACTTAATTAAACATGTAAGGAAAAGCTTTGATTTTTCCTTGTCGCCGCTGACTTGAAGGGCACTCTGCAACGCGGCTATCATCTGGGACTGCTTGGTGCCTAGGCGCAAGCAGGCGGCACTTAGGGCGGACACGACGCCGGTATATCCCATTTTGAGCAGCTCCGGCACATGCGGCTGAAGCTCGGTGAAGACGGACTCGAAATCAGAGACTTCTTTGATGTGCTGAAGGAGACGCTGAATTGAAAAGTTTGTTCCTGGTTGCCTGGCTAGGTAACCTATTCGTTTGTAGAAGAGCATCGTATACAGCTGGATTAACAATTTGGCTCCCGCTACGCTCATAATCGTTTCGAGCAGAATGACAGAGCTTTGATGGTGGAAAACTTTGGGTAGTTTGGGCTCCTCCTGCTTATTCTCAGTGTCAGACTCTGTTTTTTTCTGCACCTTATCCTCCTTTTCATCATCCCCGTCCTTGATTTCGATTTTGACGTCTAATTCTTTTTTCTCATCCTCATCCTCTTCGTTCGACTTCAGCAGACCGATCGTCAGGATTTTCTTAGCAAAATGCTTGAGCATACTTTTGTCCACCACACTGAGGGCCAAACAGATGACGCCCAGCAGACTTGATGAGTGTTCCTGGTAGGGGAAGTCACCGAACTGGGGCCACATCTCCAGGCGCTGGGGAAACTCCTTCATCACCTCCTGCCACTCGTCCGGCACCGAGTACATTTTTCTGTGCTTGGCTATCTCAGTTCCCCCTTTCTCGAAGGCGATTTTGGGAACGTGCATACCCACCAGGCACAGAATGGCTGTGCGCATGATGTGGCTGGCGCAGGCGTCCCAAACGAAGTCCTCCAGATTGTTCAGCATGAACTTTGATACGCGAAGAACAAACTGGCGGCACTTCTCGCGGTGATCTTCATTGAAGTCCGCCTGCAGGTTGTACTCCTCCTCCTCTTGGGCGGCATCCGGCTTAGCCCGTTTGTTAGAACTAACTGCATCGCTGCTATCCTGGATGGCTGATTTTCCCACTCCGCGCAGAAAGGCGATCTCAAGCATTTTCTGCAGGACGTGTGAGGCAAACCGATCGGAGCACATGGGCCTAAGGTTGTCGCCAAACTTGCTAAAAAAGCGCTCCAACTGGACGTCGTCCACAAATCCCACCAACGACTCCAGAGCCTTGGACACGATCTGATTGGAGGCCAGATGGATCTCCTGGTTGTGGGTCTGCTCAAACACATTGTTGGCCATGATGACTGCGAGAAAAAAGATTGTTGGTAAAGGCGATGCCCAGGAGATGTTCGCCACCACTCACCTCGCTCTTCCACGTCCTCGAATCCCACTTTCATGGCATCTAGAATGTTGATGAAATAATTAAACTGCTCGTCGTCGATATGCGTGCCCCTTCCGAATATCCCTTGCTTGGCGAACCCCTTGGCGTTTCGCATGAAGCGGCTGCCCTTCTTCTTGGGTCGCTTCCGCCTTGAGTTGCCCTCGGACTGCATTGCTTTTTAATAAAATAATTAAAATTAAATTATACTTCCAACGTGCGCCAGAACACGCTGTGCAAATAAAATACCAAGTCAATCGAAATATACCATTTTCGGATAGAGAAAGGTCATACTGGGGCCAAGTATATCGATTAGTCTTGGCGATGAATCGATGATTTTAGAAGCTAGCGGTCGAATTTGAATTTGTTTTAAGGGAACTGAAGTTTAGTTACTAAACTTTGGTACGATTGTAGGTAACAAAAGGGGACTGAAATATGCAAAGAACAATGTGTTTTTTTTATTTATGTTGGGTTGTGGAAGTTATGGAAGCTGCCCTATAGAATGATGTTATACAATCATTAAAAATATATCAATAAAATGTTTTAAGTATAACATATACAATCATTAAAAATATATCAATAAAATGTTTTAAGTATAACATATACAATCATTAAAAATATATCAATAAAATGTTTTAAGTATAATTATTATTTTAAGCCAATTCTAATCATATTTTATACGCAATTGATTTTTCGGTTAATTTATTAAAACTCTGATCACGCGCTATTGTTTAAGGATCAACCCTGGGTTCAAGCAAATATGTATATTACGTTTTTCTTAAATTAAAAGCACGAGTTCGGACGGAAGTTAAAAACTTAAATTTGCTAGAAGCACTTCTTAGTCCGTTCATCTGCTAGGTTTACCAATCCGTCGTGGTCATTGAATCTGTGAAAAGGGCATTGACAGCACAGGATTAGGAAATATTAATGGGAGAACAAAAACACACATTTGTGGTTGGCATATTGTCCATTGAAGGCGTTTCGCAGATTTTCTTTGAGCGAAGAATTTGAGTGCATTTGTGTTTTAAAACCGTTCAGGATGAATGCCCTTTGAATTTGGATGTTCTTAGAAAAAGAGCGCATATTATTTCCACATGTCAAGCCAAATAATCTCGAATTAAATGTGGAAATTACCATGCCCTCATTAAACTCAGATGGGCACAAGAAGCAACACTTTAGAGTCGTTAATTAAATTATCGGCAAAAAGCCGCCGCCGGATAAAAGAAGTCAAAATATTTTGTAACCAGAGACGTGCCATCAATCTCGACCAGACACGTGTGCGACGTCCTCCTCCGCCTGGCAACCCCAGAATCCGCACGATAATGGGGGTGGTGACGTCTGCGGAGTGTAACTACAGTATCAATAAACAAATCAAAGAGCAGCCGTCCTCCACCAGCGAGCAAGCCAGCCAGCCAGCCAGCCAGTCAGACAGCATCCACCCCTTGGGGCAGCCTTGCGCATTCTCCGGTGTTGCCAGGCACCGCCCCGTTGCCAAGAGTTCCTCGATCCTGGCCACCGAAGCACTCATTACTCGGGGCGCGACACGGCGCGCCTAAGCCCAGAATACCGAATCCTCGGAAGGGGAAGGACGCGTGTGGGCCGCCGGACGGGGAGGAACGCACGCGCCGACGCCGTCCATTAGACATGGCCATTAGCACCGGCAGGCTTACCTGTCGTCGCGGATTACCGCTGCTATCCTGCAGTCCACCCAACCCACGACCGCGAGAGGCGAGTCCAGCCTCGCATTGTTGTGGTCAGCCAGTGCTAATGGGCCCGCAGACGTTGTCCTTGTCGGCAATTCTGCAGGTACTGATCGCGAGGATGGCGTGGGAAAATCTAGCTCAAGCACGCCCCTGTGCTTTCGGGAAAGATACATTGCATGAATGGTCCCAGAAACACTGGCAATTCAATGAGGGGATTGCCAGCGTCCACTTCAATGCTAAAAATGGTCAATCTGGTCATTTAGTATGGTTTTTCAGGCTGATTTTGAAACACTAATATTGTACAATTTATCAGTTGAGCTCCTCAAGTGACAAGCATATCGAAATAATGACGTCGGCGAGGGCAAGTGCATTTGAAAATAATTTAATAGAATTTATTTTTAACAAAAATAAAATACTAGGGGTACAATTAAAAGTGTATAATTTATGCATGTACGTAGGTATACTCGTATATATAATTTTTGCACGTTTCGATTTGATTTGCATTTCGGTTGGCCTCCCAACCGCACTAAAACTAAAGCCTAGCTATTTACACAGATCGATGCAGTAGTCATAGTTCAAAGTGTTTGCTCCTGGAGTCTGTCCAGGAGATTGTGCTGCAGCTCCAATTCTATATCTCTCTATATCTGGCTGCGGAAATGCCAAGTTATCCGGAAAGTGTGGGGCTATGGTTGCATATCGGTAATTGGCCAAAATACTGTCATGTCTGATACCGCGGTTCCTCTAGGCCACTTTAAGCCAAGATGCCAATTGCCACTGTGGTTTGATATGGTTACCCGACGAATGTCGAATGTAGTTCCCAATCGGGTCGTCACTGGAACTCCCTTGCAAAGCCTTTGGAAGCTGAATATCGAGTCATGACAGCCTTTCAGCCATCGGGCGATATGTTTAGGTTGTGCTGCTATGCTGGAGGAGTCCGGCCATATTGCTAGGTTGCCATCCTCAGAAGTAGAAGCTCTCACACTGCTGCTGCTGCTGGTGGCGTTGTCGCTGCTGCAAGGCGATGTTGCTGCTGCTGTTGCCGCTGACTGCGCCGCTGACCCCGCCACTGCCACCGGCGGCAGCGGCCGCCTCCAACTAGAATCATAAGTGCTGGTACTCGCCCATGTCGTACATGGCGGTCATGGGCATGGCGCCCATCACGCTGTGCAGGTGCGAGTAGGCCACGGCGGCGGTCAGGGGCGGCATTTGCATCTGGGCAGCGGTCGCCGCACTCACGCCCCCTCCACCGCCGCCGCCGCCACCGCCGCCCCCGCTGCTGCTTTTGCTGGCGACACTGGAGATGTTGCTGGCGGGATGTGGCTGGTGCGGATTGTGCTGCAGGCCCTGCTCGGCGGCGACGTGCTGCAGATGCTGCTGGTGCAGGCCGCTGTTGTTGCCGCTGCTGTTGCCGGGCGAGTGCTGCTGCTGCTGCTGCTGCGCGCTCTGGCTGGGCAACATGCTGCCCTCCATCTCGGAGTCGCTGGAGGAGTCGAGGTGCTGCTTGTCCGTGGAGCCGCTGCAATGGAGACGCAAAGGTTGGCTGGTTAGCGGAAGCTTTCAAAATCAAGTGATTGGTTTAGTGAGACCCCAAACCTTCAATGAACTTGCATATCACAAATAGTAGTAATTTATTACAATCCGTTTCAGGCCTTATCTGTACTCTATATCCAAGTGAAACTGGCTTTTAACCCTCTGCTTCGCCCGCTGGAAACGTGACCCGTGGCATATGGTTTTTGGATGTCAGCATCGCTTGCGCTAAAATGTGTCAATTGCTGCAACTAATTTAGGGCTGTCAACACACCCACGCACTGCAGTGCATAATTTATTTATAAACAAATGACAAATGACAAACGACAGGGGCACAGCCGCTGCAATTGAAACGAATTCCGGAAGGAAATCGTCTGCCGCTCGCGTTTCTATAAATGGTATCATGTTCGCTGCTGAGGTGTCGCCTCAGGGAATCCGAACGAGATGGCTGCCCGGAGGAAGGGGGACAGCATGCACTCCCCGGGGCATTCGGATATGAAGCATCTGATTTCAGTCCACTTTCCAGGGGTGGGGTTCAAGTGGGTGCGAGTGCTGCACAGCCCCTTTCCATCTTAAGTGGCTGACTTTTATTGTTTGTGGCTGATTCTGTAAATGGCATTCGCCCTGCCCCCGGGAGTGGAGTCACCCAGTAATGGCTAATGCCCGGCCATCTCCAGAACGAAACTCGAGCAAATGCCAGTCCCCCTCTCCGCCGGCAATCATCGGCAAGTGTTAATCTTGTCGCCAATTGCATGGCCGAGCACAATCAGTAATCGGTTATCAGCAGCCGCATCGCGGAACCAGTTTGCGAAGAAATTGATGACAGCCACGGGCAACATCAACAAACAACATGGGAGCACCACCAGCACTGGGCCCACCAAAGTCTGGATACCCTTTGGACATGGAAGGCAGTCTCTGAATCACTGCACAACTGAATGGCATGTACTACTATGTCTTGAAATATTTGATGGGATACTTGGTAACCCATTTTCCATATGGTGTCATAATTTAGACTTGGGCTTAAATGCAATTCAAGGAAAAGGAGTCACTTAAGCAGCAGCAAATTAAATTAAGGGGATTATCGACAAATGCATTTGGCCAGCGAAGCAAACCCCATCGAGGGTATTGAAAGGGTATGGAAAGGGGAAACATTTAAGCGCACACTCGACAAATTTGCGATCTGGCGCGATGGGACAGAGACGGAGGGCAGGACCGATCTGCTGCCCGGCTGATGCACCTCCCAGCTATTTGCTGACTCCACTTCCCAGCTGCCGCGGATTCCGATTCCTGATTTCTGATTTCTGATTCCCCATTCCCGATGCGCGATGCGCGATCCGCGATCCTCCATTCCGAGCGGGGGAGGTGCTGTACAAGGAGGAGGAGGAGGAGGAGGAGCCCACATACGGCGCAGCTGTACGATATCGACAATCGTGTAATTGTAGATTGCATCCACCGAGTGGCAGCCACCAACGGCGATGGCATGCCATTACTTCTTGCCGCGTTTGCATGAACTTGAACTTGGTCCAGCGATCGGAGCCCCGGCGGAGGAGGACCATGTGACATTTGACGGACACTGCTCCCCACTTCCCCAATTTTCCGAAAACGAGTTCGCGCTGTGGACATTAAAGTAGCGCTCGTTCCGTTCCGTTCCGTGCCGTGCCGTTCCGTTCGAGGCGAAAATCGATGGCCTAAGCACAGCAAACATGAGGAATGGCCCATCCCAGAGCGAAAAGTGGGGAGCAAACAAAAGGCAGCAGCAGCATATAAACAATGATATCGAATTACCAGAGTTTCGTAGTTCTGCCCCCATCTCCCCCCGCCTCCGGCTCTGCAACACTTATTAACACATACAGGCGGACAGCGCCCACTCTTGTGGGCGTGCCCCATCCCACCCCGTCCCTGTCCACATTTCCAGTGATTGCATTATAAACACGAAAATGCCTCGGCTCGGTCCAGTTTGCTCTTCCTGGGCCCCGAACGGGAGCAGGGCGTCTCAAGGACAGTTCCCGGGCCAGCAGTGAGTGTCGCATGAAGTTTATAACAAAATGGAACAGCAGGTTTTGGTTCTCCGTCTCCGACTGCGTCTCCGTCTGCGTGTGTGGTCCCTTTGGATGAGGGGAAGGTTCTTGGGGCTTTTCTTTCCCGCACTTTGTGTCATTTCTTTTCTCTTTTTGGGGTCTGTGCCCAGTGAGGGGGAATTAATTTTTACTTGTTTGCCCAATTGATTTTTTGTAGCCGGGCTCTGCCTTAAGCAGATTCATTAGCTTGGTAATAATGCATGATCGGATTATGTTTAACTGGAATCGCTGGGATGGACCAGAAACGAGTTTGCCACGTGAGTGAGTTGATCGGTCTATAGAGGCATTTAGCATTTTGGCAAGACATCTTTGGTATTGATCTCATGTAAATTGATTTGGGAAATAATAGAACTGAGAATGGTCGAATGACATAATCCCAAGACTTTCACACGAACGAGTGGAAAGGACTGTGGATTCCCAGGAATTCCGTTGCTAATAAAAATTATAAGCCAATAAATCCCTAAAAAAACAAACAAGAGGCGCAGGCCCTGGAAGATCGCTGAGATCGCTGGGATCGGAGAGATCGGGATTTAGGGAGATATGGGCAGGTCGGGAGATCGGGAGGACCGGCGGAGCTAAGGAACAGGTTGAGTTATCGCATTGCGCGATCGGTACACAAATCTCGGGACGTGTGCTCAGCAGGACACCCAACTAAACGGGCAACGGCGATCCATAAGTGGAATCTGAAAAGGTGTTGATCATAAATTATCATTTAATTTACGCATGTGTGTGGCTGTTGTTAATGTTCGTGGCGACCCTCTGACACTCAAAACGCTCGGGAGGATGGGGGCCAGGAACGAGCCAGGCGGACTGAGTCCAGCGCACCTCAGCTGGGGCTTGGGGTTCTCCTCCGCGTCTAGCCGTCGTCTGGCTGGTTATTGTTGGGCATTGTCTACAACTATGTAAGATGCCAAAGATTAACCCAAAGTCCGAGTTCGGCGCTGTCATCGTTATAAGATATTTTATTATCGCTCAGCCGAAGATCCCGAAACTCGAAGGTGGAAAGTACGTAGAATGTGTGGCGTGTGGAGCGTTTTATGCTGGCCGCAGATTGTTTTGACAGTTTCTTATAATTTTGTGGCCTTTTAATTGCCCAGCCCGAGGCAAATCGTATGGTTCCCGAGGAGAGGTAATCGCGTCCCCAGGCCCCCGCTGGGCAGCCCAACTTTTATGTAATCCCCAGTCTTTTCAGCACTTTGTGGCTTAGGGACTTCGTGGGAGTACCTCTGGTACTCTGGGAAGCCCCAGAAAGCAATTGCTGAGCTCAAGTCGAAGGAACAGCTCAGCTCAGCAACATTCGTGGGATTTTCAACTATTCTAACTAAGCCGCTTAATAAAGCAGAGATTAAAAAAGATGTGACACAGAAATAGCTAAATTTTTCCTTTCATTGTGAATTACACCTTGGCAATGCTAATTTCATTTCCACCAGCTTTCAATAAGGAAAATATCCAATCATGCTTTTGGAGTAATGTAATAATGCAGCCTGCCCAGCTCCTCCTTTTGGGGAGCCTTCATACTTCTGGCTTGCCCCAGATGAGATCTAATTATTGTCAAGAGAGTGTACACTTGACACCCACTCCCGGAAAAGCGCGCTGAGCGGTTGTCAGTGCGGATGGCAAGCGCCTCCGGGCGATTCCGTACCACCAGCCGGTCCATCATCACCAACAACATCATTATCAACGCCATCGGAGCACGGATCGGATGGGGAGGGAGCGGGAATGGGACGGCGGCGGGATTGGGAACGGGAACCGAGCTGGGGAACTGAGCACAAACACAAAGACGTCGGCGCGGAGACGGGAAGACGGGAAGACGGGAAGAGCAGAGACCCTCCGACGGGCAAAAGCGCAAAATACATAATAATAAAAACAGAATGTACAATAAAACGAATAAAAATGAATAACGTGCTGGCGGGGATTGGAGCGAGGGGCAGGCGGCGGGGTTGTCAGGGCGAACGAATAAAGAACACACGCACATTTTGTGGTAACCCGATACCCTGGCCAGCTACCCTCCAGCCAACCGTGGCATTCGACGAACGCAAAATGATGACGATGTCTGGGGGAGATGCGGATTCGGTGGGCAGGGGCAGGGGCAGAGGCAGGGGAGTGGGATGGACTTGGGACTGGAACTGGAAGTGGAACTCGGACTGGGTCGCCTCGGTGGTGAGTGCACACATACATAGTTGAGGAGCAGGGAAGGGGAACCTCGTCTGGAACTGGGACTGTGTGCAAGAGAGGGAAGAACGCTCGAGGTACTGAATTCCCGGAGAAATGGCCCATAATGCCAGGCAGATCAATCAAATCCAACTGAAATGGCCTCCGAGTTCCTTTCTCATAATGGGGATTCCTTGAAGCAGCAAAAGAGCATCTTTGTGCCTGGCTAGATATTAAAGCAAATATCGGCTAAGGATCGCTGTTCTGCTGGGCTCTTTGGGAATAGGATGATATCCTTCACTCCTGAGTATTTTGATGGAACTAGCTTGGTTGATATTGGATTTTATTAAATATTTATAAGTTGAAACGGAATACTTATTGATGGACACGCATTTAAACATTTAAACATTCGTAAAAGAGTACATTTCCAAGTATTTGGCTTTGCTACCTTTCAGATATCCAAGATTGGTGCAACCTAAAGTCCAGCATGTTATTGTAAAAGTGGTTTGATAGGAAAATATCCGATTACGGCTAGATTGTTTGGGCTAGTTCCTCAAAACTTTTCGCCCAACTTCGCATTAAACAATGCGACGGAAACCCGATATAGTAATTGGCCGGATTTTCGAGCTCTCAGTGAGCAGTGACTTTCAACTCAATTCAAAATTTACAAAATTTACAAAATTCTCGGTACGAAATATGCACAAGACCTGGAACAAGGCGTTCCACAAGCGCAAACTGGTAAGCTCGGAGCGTTGTACTGAATGAGCAGCGGAAACCAACCCAATCCTTTCAGTGGAGGACCGCATCCAAGCCCGGGAAGCTGGTGTACTACATGCAGCCGCTGGTCGAGCACTTGTTCGACACCTGGATGCAACCACTGCCCTTCCCGACGCTGCTGAAGTTCCTCTACAGCTGCCTTCTGATCTTCTTCATAATGCTCCCGATGCTGTACCCACTGCTCGTCCTGCTCTCCTACTACGGCTTGTTCCAGTACGCGGCGCAGGAGCACTTCGGACTGGAGACGCCCGAGAACTGGGACCTCCTGGGCGCCACCACCAAGCTGTGGCGCTTCGAGGTGACCAACAGGAAGTACCTCCTGTTCGTGACCATGTACATCGATAGGTATCGCGTCGTCTTAACCGCCATATCTTCGACAGTCGACTATATGCGCGTGGCTCTGTACTTCGTCTTCAGCTGAGCCAGGAGCAAGCATTTTTCGATCCCTGTTTGGTTTAGTGGCTTAGTCCTTGGAGCAGCTAATTTTGTGGTCAGCATTTAGAAGGAGCTGTTTCAGAAGCAAATGCTCTCTCTCTCAATGAACTTATCCAATTAAAAGTTGGCCCTTGACCCTTGTGTGCATTTCTGAAACTGATTCGACAAAGTGCATGCCTGTGGATATAGGATGGATCGTTCCATCTACCTAGGCTTTGAGCAATCTGTCCTCCATTCTCTTCTGGCCCTGCGAAGGTAGTGCCTATTCAAACAATAACCACTTTGGCAGTTGCTGGGCCGTTCAAAGTGCCGCTTTAGATTCGGATTTGGCGCCGTTGTGGTTTGCTGGCTGCCACAAAGCTGCATGGAACATAGATACACACCCTCATGCAAAAGTAAAAAACAGAAAACGAAGAGTGCAGAGGAGAGGAGGAAAACAATATGAAAAAGTTAAAGTAGCAGCACACTGAGTTGCTCATCGAGGCAACAGCCATAAACATATATCAGGTTACCTCCAGGAGGAGCAGGAGGTAGCTACGCAGTCTATAGTGCGGCAAACTATCGCAGAGAGCGGACGTGTACGTGTACGTGTATCTGTATCTGTGAGATACTTTTGACGACCGGCCGTGTTTGGGTGCATGGGGGAGTTTGGGTGTGTTGGTGTGCCTTGCGGTTGCCACGGCATCCACTTTATAATATTTTTGCATTATCTCTGCTTTTTATTTTTCATTTCCATTTTTATTACGACAATTTCTCGCTTTTCGCCTGCCGTTCGTGCGGCGAAACTCGGCGTAAGTGATATACCATTTAGCATAATGGAACTATCCTGGCGAAAGTTTGGGACTTCTGCCAATTTGACCCGGCTAATGGTGGCGCCACCCAACTGGAATGGCTAGAAGGGAGGACCGTCCTTTTCACTCTCTTGGCTGTTTGCTCTTCACATGACTTCCAGCCGGATCGCAGGACAAACAAAAGGATGCTCGTCGGCCAAAGGATGTTTAATATTTGAGAAACCAACTCCTATCGGTCGAGGATCTACGCCATCCCTCTGCCTCTGGAAGCATCCGAAAGGAGTGGCTCAACTGCTCGAAACTATTTGCTTAAGCGGAAATGCAGATGTTCAGGAAAATTGGGCGGCGGAAGGGAAGTGAAAGGACCGGGGATTTTAATTAGTGACGAGGCCTGCGAGACATATGCCGCAGATATGCGCGTACCGAAAGCAAACATCAACAAATCAAATAAAAATAAAAATACAAATAAAATAAATATATAGGATCATTTTGGAATCTGGAACAACATGTTAATGACTTTGTCAGCGACTCTTGCTTTCCCTCCGCCTTTTACCACTTCGTGTGCCAGTTGCGTGTTGTCCTTGGCACTAATTAGCCAGCCCCCCATTGACACCCCAACCCCAAGCCGCCCACTCGGCGACCTTGAAAGTAAATGCCGTCAGCTTTTGTAATTGAAATTTTAAATGCAAATTATTATATTATTTTTTGCACGCGTTGACACTTGTCAGATGTATCGCAACTAAAGCATAAATACTCGTATAAGTCCCCATTATACGTACGCCGCTGATATAAGCAATCTGGATATATCTATGATTGGAATACACCCAAAAATATCTCAGTTGCCCAGTGAATCAGACGGCAATCAGCTTAGATCTATGGTAATTAGTGCTTAGTGCTTAGTGCAACTCACTCTTTATGTTCGGCAGCTCTATCTCTTTGTCGTCGGTTCTTGAACCAATTGGAAACCTGTAAAAGCACAGAAATAGCTTAGATACATTTGTAAACACTCGCAGTTCGGCCCCATGATTAATGGGCTGCAATTAACATGTGGAAGACAGCATATGCGAGGAATTTCAATTGAAATTTGTCAAAAGATGCGTTTGACATTTATATTTGCATCTCTGTTCTTGGCATCGCCATCGACATCGACTCACCTGCGTGGTGGTCAGTCCTGTGGCCTCGGCCAGATCGCGTTTCTCCCGCGGCGACGGATACGGGTTGTGCGAGTACCAGTCCCTCAGTACCGAGCGGGATTTCTCCTGCGGATGGAATTTCGTAATTTTAAGTCACACGCTTGCAAAATGCAAATGCAAGAATGCAGTAATGTCAAGTATATCAATTTGCTCTGTAACTAATTTGTTAAAAGTTACATAGCATTAACAGCATTCGATTGATTATATATATCTGTATCTAATACAAGCATATATAAGAACGGACCAACTTAGCTCCAAAATCATTCCAAGCAACATGTATTTTGGGGATTTTTTCTAAATGAATACAAAGCCTCTAGAAGAGGACAATTTGGAATAGTGGATATTTTTCACAGCGAGCGGTAAGCAACAGGGTATTCCCTTCGCCACTCAAATGTATCCTTCCTTCGTTCCTTACGAGTATATCTATAAATTGGATGATTCGCGGGGCGTATCTAGGACTCAGCCCACATTTGCACAATCTACTTGAGGCAACTGAAGGCCTGCCGGAGAGCAAACAAAGCGAATCCCGTCCAGGATGTGCCTCCGATAAGCCCGAGAGGCGTTACCCCAGCGGAATCATGCAATCAGACAGGCGAGCGGGCAGTTGTACGATTTCCGCGCTTGCCACAATTAAAATGGAAAGCGGCCAGGACGACTTGGACCTGGGAACTCACCTTAAAACAGTAGCTCGTCTCCTCGCCATCCCAGATGGTGCGGGGCAGTGGAAATTTACGGCGAACACGATATTTGCCAACAGCACCCAAGGGTCTTCCGCGCAGTTTTTCGGCTTCCACATAATGCGCTACAGTCGTGGAGAAGGAAGGGAAGTCAGTTTGGTTGCGTTTCTGGCCCCAAACATTTGGGGTTGGGGTTGGGGTTGGGCAGCGGAGCGGGTTGGAGGCTCACCTTTCAACCACAGGGCCTGGAGCTTGGCGTGATTCTGGGCCGAGAAGTGGTGATGCTCGAGCAGGCGGTACAGCTCCTTGTACTGTCCCCGGTGGAATGCGACGACCGCCTTGGCCTTCAGCACGGACTCGTTCAGCTGCAGCTTATCACATTGTGGCAGCGACCAGAGGAAGCGGCCCAGTCTTTCGATGTTGCCCGCCTGCTGCAGAACCTGTGGATGTCCGGGGTAAGTATTTGGTATAATGTGTGTTGGAGATATTTCACTAAAACTCTATTATTCACTGAAGCTGACATGCCCGCCTGACCATTGCTACTGGCTTACCTCGCAGACACAGGCCACCTGCTCCTGGGTGAAGCCGAAGCTGGGCAGGTTCTCCCGGCCGCCGGAGCCTCCGCCTCCGCCACTGACCACTCCGCCTCCGCCGCCGCCACCGTTGCTGCCGCTGTTCAGGTGGAGGCCACCGCCTGCTCCGCCGCCGTTGTGCGCCATGATGTCGAGGGTGCTGCTGCTGTTGTTGTTGTTGCTGGTGCTGCTGTTATTGTTGTTGTTGTTGTGCAGAACCACCGATCCGCTGAGACCCGTGGGACTATAAGGAGGCGTGTGGCGGGCAGTGAGAACGGCAGCCGCATTGGCCGCCGCCAAGTCGTAGAAATCTGTGGCGGGATGCTGTAACATTTTCTGCGGGAGTCGGGTGCCTGGCTGGATGGTGGGCTTGATTGCAAGGACACCGCTAGAAGCTACAGGAGCTGGCGAATTGTGTAACCTAAACTAGTAGTTGCTTGATTCTTTGGTGCTTTGAGCGCTGCAATGATAAAAGCAATAGGTTTAGGTTTGCGTATTGCGAATACATTTCAGAACTTCAGAAATCATACATCATACAACATATATGAATATATATATAGGCATAGGAATCAACTATACACACAAATGTATAGATAATCTCTTTAGTGCTTAAGATCAAATCGCTAATTGCAACACCCAATTCTTGAGGAAACTTACGCCACGCAGCGAAGTAATTAGCCCTCTAGTTTTCATCTTTTTATTACCCCTCTCGATTAATAATTAAACAGCTATCTAATTGAGACACATAAAGCTGTGAAAATTACCATTCGAGCAAATGCCAAGCAAAACAAGCGCGTCTGCATGGGCTTTCCATATTCATGGGCAGTTGGGGATCAGAAATCCAAATCCAAATCCAAATCCAAATCGAAATCCAAATCGAAATCAAAACAGTACAGAACCTCGATCCGACCCCATGTTGTCAAACATGATTAACCGAGTCCGGGGCAATTATTAATGCGGCATGTTCGATGTTTGATTATCGGAAATATGGCTGGCCATAGCCATCGGGGAGCTCCTAACCTGTCCGCACCCGACCAAGAGATCTCTTACGAAAATAAACTCTTTACACAATATAGTACGTGTGCGAGTATATGGGGCGCATGGTGTTTCGGTATTCCTCCGATTTCACATTTCACATTTCACATTTCCCATTTCACATTTCTGTATTCGGTTCTAAGAATATTTCTAAAATTACCAAGCGGCGGCGACGACGACTGCCCGCTGCCAACGCGAGGGAGTGAGCGAGAGGCCCAAACGCATCCCCCAGATAGAATAACGCGCCGCACTTTACAGACGATGTTTTCATATTTCAAAACAATGCAATCGATCTGTCCGGATTTAGATATCGCCACGGATACCTCTCTATCTGGCCCCCGAAGCTAAGGCTAAAGCCAAAGCTAAACCCCCCGATCGGCTATATGCACACAGACGCTAGTGTATCGGTATCGAGTCGAGATATTCTTGGATCTGCTTTCGGTTTCAGTTCTCGTGTGTGCCGGGCAGATTATATAGGAGTGTACGTATACAAAACAAGAAATAAGAACATAGAGATTCGTTCTGGCTGCCGCTGTAACGAAAATACCAACGCCAAGTTGGCTGCTCTTGAGTCATCGGCCTAGGCCAGATCCCCCGCAGCCGCCTCTCCGAAGATTTCCATCGATTCGATTTCTTCGGCTCGCCGGGATTCTTCTTTCTCTGCTGCTTGTATTTTCGTTGGCCTGCTTCATGTTTGACGCAAGTAAACAAGCAAAATTCGAACGTGAAACGCAATACGCGATAAATTTTCAATCTGTTTTGGCCAGCAGGCCAGCACCCAGCAATCCAGCACAAGTGGCTAATTCTCGATGGACACAATGCATCGGACATAATAGACGCGATTTACGCCCCATCCGATCGGATTCTCAGCTCTTCAGCCACATTGGAGCACTGCTTGGGTGCTGGCATACCAAGGTTTATGGCCCTATACCGTTGCACGATCCCAAATCGAAGTCCCTGCCCCACAACGAAGAACACCAGCAGCTACGACAGCAGCGGCCTCGAGAGATATTCTATCTGATATCGGGCTGTATCTTTTGGCTGCCTCTTCAGTTCGCCTTGTGGGAGATCTCTTATCGCGCGCCTGTAGCTGCCTGACTTTTGTGGCATTCGAATAAAATTCACTTAATTTATTTTACAAATTCTGTAATTTATTTCCAGAGGTGCTTTATCTATTGGTTGCTGTTTCTGTTTCTGTTTCTGTGTCGTGTTTGCCCTCCATTCCCCCGGGCTTCCCCCGACTTTTATAAGATTTTAATTTGGGTGTCGCCGTGCAAGCGGGGGAATCTCTGGAAATCCGAAAGCGGACACCTAACTCTCTTTTGGGTTGTTAATCAAATTGAATTGTTCGAGCTGCCGTGGCTGCAAGCGTTCGCCTAATTAGTTTGTAATCAAAGTCAGCTTACGATAGGCTTGTTGATGGATTGCATTCACTCCGAAGGGCAGTTCCGTACGCTTTCCGAGTCAGTGCGCTCCGGGAGCTCTGCAGGTGAAGTGTCCCCCAGTTCGAGGAGCCCCCAGCTCAACTTGGAGCATGGAATCCGAAAGCAGCGCGCCTGTTTCTGGCGGCTAACAGCGAAATCATCTGCTCCGGCGTCTGTGTTTATACATTGTAATCGAATGGGACTGGGATTGGGACTGCGACTGGGACTGGGAGTGGGAAGCAGTGTGCCAAGCAACCTGTTGTGGGCCAGCCCCCGTTCCGGGTAATTCGAACGTCTATCTGGCCGCTGGGCGGGATTAGTAAGCAGTGCTGCCACACGGCCGAGACAATCGCTATCCGCCAGATACTATTTTTAACATTTTCCGTTTAATTGCCGCGTGAGGGAGCTACGCACAAAGAAATCGAATAGAGCGCGGCGCAATGAATGAAATTTGTCAATTTAATGGGTTGCACACATGTGTCTCTGCCTCCGCAGGCGAATGTATCTGCATTTTGGCTGCTTTTCGCCCTGCTGCGCCGCATTTCCCAAACTTTGAATGAAACTGTAGTGCAATGGTCGAAAGTCCCGCCGGTGGGGAACTCGTACCCAAATTACGGCGGATTCTGCACGCCGGTGCGTAAAATGATCAAAGCTGCTGGGGCCAAACTTGCGTATCTGCATCTGTTTGCCCGAGTCTTGAATTTTGGCGAATGGAATGCGTAAATTTGTCAATTTGGCCACTTCCGAGATGGAGTCCACATGGCTGGTATCTTGATGATCCGAAATAGGCACCCAGAACCGTACGCAACATCTGCTCCCATCTCCGCACTCAATTAATCATTCCGCTTCTGACGACAAACACGCGCTGGCCAATTCGTTTAAACGCTTCTAGTCCCCCGAATATCGCAAATATTGTATTTGGCCGGACAAAAATCGGCCCACACCCACTCATCCTCGCACGAAGTGCAAAAGTTCTCGGCGCAACAGTCGCTGTAGTTCATAATTTCATAAATTTCTGGCGAAAATCGAAATGATAAAGCCAAATGGTTTCATAAACAAGCACTGAGTACCAAACTGGTGGAGCGTCTTTGAGATGAATGAATGACAACTGGAAACGGCTTTTCCTTCGGATCCAATCTATCTCATACTTTTCTCTTAATTAATAAATACATCTGAGGTGGTTGGGCCGTCGAATTGCCAACTTGGAAAGGGGAAAAGTGGCCAATCGAGAGGTGAATAAAACAACCGAATTTAGCTTTTGGTGTGTAAACAAGTTTCCTTTTCCAATTAATACAAAAAAAAAAAAATTCAATTTCCATTCTATTTCCTTCGATTCCATCAAAATTGGTTCTCAAGTGCCGCGAGTTGGTTTTCCCATGGCTTATGACCATTGGAATTCGCCAATGCCACGCCGAAAAAAGCGAAGTGCACTTTGGCTTTCAGCTCTCGCACTAAAATTGCCAAAAGTTGTGAATCTATTGACTTCAATGATAGATTGATCCATTGGAAAGCGGACAGAGACACGTCTTGAAATTTATGGACTGCATTAAAGCATCTTTAAATTAATTTCTTAAAGTGAACGGCCAAGATATTGAACCTTACTCTGGGAATTGGGAAAACATTAAGCTTGGAAATTCAGAATTGCTTTATACCTTATGATTTTATTTATAGGTGATTAGCGATTTCTGGAAAATGCATATGTTTAGTATTTGATAATACTCAGTTCCCCTTTTTATTATTATTTAAATGAACTACTTATATTACTAATATATTTTTTAATTTGTAAATACTTTCTCGTTATTGATCAGACTAATCTTAAAGCAAACTATATTGACGCTGCTCTTTGAGCCCTAATAAGAAAGGTTTAATGATCTTAAAATACCCTACGTTTAAAAGGAATCGCCAATACAACATTTGTTTTTGTTAATCTGAAACATGATGTATGTATATTTTTCGCTATGTGCTTATTATCCACATTAACATTTGCCGTCGGCAGCCTGGAAATTGAATCTTGCTGCTCACCTGTATTTTGATTATTTATTGTTGATACGTATCCGAGTTTGTTAGTTTCTGTTTGCCCTTATTGTTTGGGCTTGTGCTTGGCAGCTTGCTTTCTGATTCGAACTGTGCTATATCCGCAGTGTTAGAGGTGGCCAAGAAGGCGTTGATTCTGGCCGTGCATTTTTGCCAAACTCAAATGCTTTAAATCGAAGCCATGTGCCGCTCACTCACGCACACACTCTTACTCGCGATCACACTGGGCACTAACACAAGCTTGCCGCCGAATATTGCTCATACGCACTGTGCGAACACGTGTTGCAAATTATTTTTCGAGATACTTTCGCTGTCCTGCGCGACTGGGACAAATTGCACCTGCAAATTGGAGGGCGAAGCTGCGACGAGAGCACTGAAGCGGTGCCAAAAAAAAATGGCCGCCCGCGGATTGATAGCTCAATTTTCCTCGCTTTTCTCTCGCTTCGTGTGCGTTTACTTGCCGCGCTACCTATTCGTATTCGTTCATTCAGCGACGGAATCTCGAAAACAACTGAGAACTCTCCGGTTCTCAAACCTCCTCGAACCGAAAACACCCGAGACAAAAGGCAGAAAATGGTTGGTGCCGCTGGCGGTGTGCGTGCGCCAGAGCGAGATGCCCGACTGGTCGTGCGAGTGTGTGAGTGAGCGCGCACCATGGGGGTGATGCGCACAGTGGGCCGGATCGACGCTTTGTGCGCCACTTTGCTAAAAAAACAGTGTCATTCCTACCACCTACCAAGCGAATAGGGTATCTTCCTCTAGTGACCTTTATAAAGTCACTTGGCACATAGAAATCATAAGATTGCAATCAATCGGATTACAGGCATTAGTGAAAACTCGCACTTTATTAGGAAAAGTTCCTAACTTCAAAACTTAAAAAATAATTTACAGTGGCAAACATATAAGTTAGGAATTATTAAGTAAATTAGGAAATTATTCATTTATTAAGAATTCGACAAATATTTTCATATATGTATATCAATTAATTAATTTTTTTATATATAACAATTAATATTGGTACATCTCAACAGTAGCATTATTTCATGAATTTGTCCCACTTTGCGATTTGACGACAGTTTGAGAGCCACTGTGTAAGGGGCAATGTGTGAGCGAGCGAGAGCGCGCGTAAACAGGTTGGCCGAAAGAACGCCCCCTAAGCTTACCTGTTCGCACACACACAGAGAGATACCCTCACTCACACCGGCGCACTGGAGCAACAACAGCTCGCTGATTGGTCAGCGGTTCGCCTGCCGGCGAAAAGTCATGCGCATTGGGCGCCATATTGAAAGGCGGAAATCGGAGGTGAACGCGACTGCATCGGTACTCCTCCCCAGGAACTCTTCATCCTGGCTAAAAGGATGCCCGTTGCAATAGCTGCCATCCTGTAATCCCAATCCCGTTTGCATTACTCACCGCAATTGTTCCTCGCATCTCTCGTATAATTGCAATTACTGGCCCTTTCTCTTCGAGAATTTCGCAGAAATTCCTCATGCCTTTAGGTTTAACTCAGCCTATTGGTATTTCCGAATTATTGCAGTTGTGTTGTATTATTTAATGATTCCGAATGAGATGAACCCATTTGGTAATTTAAGCCAACTAATTATGTTAATGATTTGCTGATAAAAAACAGGCGTGTTGCAATCCTTGCTTATGATATTTTGACTTAATATAATTTACATCATATCCTATGTTACTGACAGTCATGTATTTCCAAAATACTAGCCAAAGATAAAGACAACTGAACAATGTGCCATGAGGGGTTCAGAATCTCTTAGCAACTTTATCAATACAAAAGTTGGAAAATCATTTTCCAGAGTACTAAGCCCCTAGTTGCCAGCACACCGTTTAGAAAATCCCCGAGATTTTCGACACTTCTTTATTGAAAATGTGTCCCATTTATCGGTAGCTCGATCTCAGCGTGTGCCATGAAAATCGCATGAAGGACCACCCAAAATGCAAATTCGGAAACGGAGCTGGGAAATTTGATCGAAACCCTACAAAGATGACGGACTAATGGGGCGCCGGACTGGTGCACCTAATCAAGATCGGCAACTGCCCACACAGATCCCAACTGAAGATCCTCCCCGCTGGCGATTTCAGTATCGTTTACAGAGATAGATAAGGTTTTGGCGCCAGGCCTCGACAGTCACCAATAACCAAAATAAGTGTTAAAAAATTAGGAAATCGTAAAATTTACATAATAACAGATCATATTTCAATCGAATTAGAATGACAGACGGCAACGACAACAGTTGTGAATGCCAGAGGGAAAACACATAAAGATGACCATAAAACAAAGTTGGATGGAGGCAGCGATACGGGATCCCACAAAATGTTAATGAAAAACTGCGATAAAAATCTTGTCCAACATGAATGAGAAAAACGAGGCAACGAGCCCAACAATGCAGCGATCAACACCACGTTCTGCGGCTCCAGATGACCCCCGCCTCTCCAGAGAAAGGGATGGAGAAAGTCATCTGTTTGATGGGGGGCCCCGTGTACCCGAATGCCTCGACCTCCATTATTGGTGTTAAGAATGAAGACAATAACGAGGCTGGCACACGCGCCCCTAAACTCTTCGCCGGACACCTGCTGTGCGGGCCACTTTCCACCGGACCCGGGGCTCCTCACTCCAACCTCCAGACTCCAGGCGCCCGAGGAGCCCGAGGAGCCGGGCTGGGTTATGCGGCACCGCAGCCGCTTATTAGAAATGGTAAACAAACAGCCAGATCAGTTGAACTTTATGGTCCTCCATGCCGGATCGTGCGCACATTGTTAATCATCTGGAACTGGCCATAAAGCAGATACCACCGGCCATTATTAATTCGGTTGAAATTATTATTAATTTTGCGCCATAAATCTCGGCACTGCGTGAACCGAACCCCTTTTGTGGTACGTGTGGGTAATTAGCTTTCAGTTCGTCGGGATTAGATGCTCATTTGCTGGGCTAATCATAAATTTGTGGCGATGATGTTCTATCACTATCTTGAATTCACATAAAGACAGTTATAATATATTTCATATTTTCTGTTGCTTGTTGTGTATACCATTGCGTTCCATTCATCCTGATAAATAAAATATAGCATAACTATGTATATATCATAAAGTATATAAGCCCAATAAACTAGGAGAGACAATGTGATTGGGATGATTTTATTCGCGATCATCTAAGAATCTGTAGTTTTTTAATACTTTGGTTTTCTTTCCAATATTGATAGTATTTATGTATTTTTATTTCCGTTACTCGACGAGTAAAGGGTGTACTTTATTCGTTGAAAAGTATGTAACAGGCAGAAGGAAGCGTTTCCGACCATATAAAGTATATTGATATATATATTTCCGACCATATAAAGTTCGTATGTCCGTATGAACGCCTCGATCTCAGGAACTATAAAAGCTAGAAAGTTGAGATTAGGCATGCAAAGTTGACAAAAATGTCACACTCTTCCACCATCTTTTCATTTTTTTACATTTTATAATATGTTTCCCAATTTTATGCCTGAAAAATGTTGAAATTTCTATTTGCACTTTCACTAGTTGAGTATCTGATAGTCGGGGAACTCGACTATAGCGTTCTCCGTTGTTATAACTATATAAATAATCACTTATATTTAGATTTTTTGTTGTTGTAATTTTAACGTTTTTGACCCTATAATGTTGTATATATACGTACTACAGCGGTAATTACTTACTTTAAATAAACAAAGAACTATTTTTACAGCACTTTAAATTGATTTTCGTCACATAAAGTGTAAGGAATATTCTATGTTTAAGGTGGGACTTGCATCTTTAAGAGGTGGGTCGCTGGAAACAAACAAGCAAGACAAATCGAAAATCCCGAACGTCTATCAGTTAAATGATACCCTCTCCAAATTTGTGTTTCTAAGAACTAGCATGCATTGACCCCATCAAACCAAAAGGTTCCGCGTACAAAGAGACTCCTGGCAACTACTCCTTGCCACCACTGCTCATCGGCCCTCCACCGGAAACTTAAAAGTTCTCTCACGCGTTCCATGGCGATCCCAGAACAATCTCCTTCCGATAATGGGCCGCCAATTCAATTACGGACTTACATTCACTCGCTGTCGCCTTCGCGGTCGCTGGTGGGCGGGGGAATGGCCACATGCAATTGCCTTGTAATTTGCCACAATTATTCATATTAAAAATGAGTTAAGCGTCGCCTCGGGTGCCTGGTGGAGAGGGAGGGGAAGGGGGAGACGGAAGGGGCCGACAAGTAAGTAATTTTCACGCGTAGGTAACTTTAAACGATCCCAGTTCGGGGATCTGAGGGGCAGTGGACGGCGGATAATAATCGCTGCCACATAAATATTACAAGCATCTGACAACTGAAAATTATCTCCTTCACTCACGAGCCATTTAAATCAATTTTACACTTCGGATTTCACAGGCGGTCGATCTGGATACGGAGGACACGATACGGACCCTGCCTTCCCCCAGAGCCCCTCCCCCCTCCTTATTCGCTGGAGCCCGGCCTGCAACCTGGAAATTGAAATTTATTGAAAAAATGATGACAAACGAACGAAAATAAGCGAATGCAGCAGCTGCAAGGTGGTCCCGGGGGTGTGACGTGAGAAGCCAGGCTGAAACTTAAGGCCAGCACTGTGGATACATGTGTTTATGGCCGAGATAGGCTGATTAGGGTTGCCAAGTGCTCCCGAATTATCCCGAGGCACGACAACCAGCGTCATTTTTAAGGCCAGTTTGTTAACATTCCACATTCATATAGATTGTTTATATATTAATATTTAAGTTTAGGGAAAAGGATTCCAGATTTACATAGATAGTTATTAATATTTATGTTCGGGGAAAAGGATCATCATCATAAACGTATTTCTATCAAATCTTATAAAGGCTATTTCGGTTCTTACTGCTAAGACTCGAATTCGAATAAGATTTTTCAATATCATGTTATCTTTTGTGATGGAGTTGATATTTTAGAAATTAGTTTCTCAACATTATGTTAGTATTTATATGGCTGAAAGTTTCTTACCAGAGGAGATGTTTTGAATTTTCAGTAAATCCGGGCGTCATCAGGCTTTATAAGGACATTTATACTACATCGCATAAATAAAGCGCATTTGTCTTTTCGAGCGAATTCCCTTTATTGTTATCTTTATCTGACAAATGTTAAATTATAGCTTCAACTTGAGATATCCCTAAATTGTCATTTAAATTGTGAAACCCAGAGTTCATTTCATATATATAATTCTTACATACATATATCAATTTTAATTATTTTCCAGTAAAAGGAAAGTATATCTTTGAGCTTTTCAAAACGAGCCCCATCTACGAAAAGAACTCAATAATACTTTAAGCTAATGGTGATCTGTTTTTTCGTGTTAATGATCATGTGGTTTCGCATTCATTAGACCAACGATAAACAGCCAGCACAAATGGCATTTGAAAAACATTTTATTGAGAACTCATAGCAAATGTACACATGGATTCCTCTTTTTTTTAATTTTCCAGAGTAACAGTTCGTTTAGAAACAGGAACCTGTCCTAAGCTCTCGCTTCTGGCTCAGAATTCGGCTTGGCTCGGCAACTCTGGGCATGCTTCACATTTCACTGGGGTGTCATAACGTCGGCTATCCCGAGCCCCTCGACCCCTCCTCCACCACCAACTGGGCTCTGTGCAAAAGCGTTTAAACCAACAATTACGCGAGCATAAATCAAACAGTCGAGTAGAGTGTCGAGGAGCAAGGCGGGCGGTCCGGTTTGGTTCGGTCCGGGTCTCCCAGTTCTCCGCTCCTCCAAGTGGGATTCCCCTGGCCGGGACCGCGGGTCGCGTGCACAGAAGAGTTAGGGATGAGCGGATGGCACGGGTGCGGGGTGAGAAGGTGCCTGGAATGCCGACACCATCTGCTGTCACAGGCGGCGACGCCTTGGCCAACCATCCTGGCCACTTGAGGGACTCCGCCCCATGCTCCTCGCGGGATGAGGAGGCTCATCTTCCCGCTTGGTTTCGAGTGTCAATAAATAATAGCGGCCAGCCCCCCAAAGTTTACTGATGGCGCGGAATTCACTGATCTCGTTCTGATCGCTGGCCGAGATTAGATTGTGATTGCCGTGCCCCATCGCCTGCTGCTTCCTTTCCTCGTCTGGAGCTGAGTCTTTGTTTTCCGTTGGTCATGGCCTGGCCAGGCACATTTAAATAATTTTTCTATTAGCTAATCACTTTAAAAACAATCCTCACGTGGCCAGCGGCATGCCAAATGAACTTGGGGCACGCCACGCAGCGGGGCCCTGTCCAATTTGCAGATACGATCGTGCGGCTGCCACATTCACCTTCCTGCTCGTGGGTGGCCAATTGGCCAATCGGCTTGGGGACTCTCTCCTTCGGGCATCGCGTGTGTTGACACGATCTGAAAAGATTCAAGTCACGCGTACTCCGTGGCGTGTATCTCAGAAATACGTTCTTCTGAGCCAGATCGGATTGTTATTGTAATGTAAAGAGCTGCTACGTCTGCTAAATTCTTCAAATGAGCTCAATGAATATCTATAATCATTTTAGAGCGTCAGAAAGTGTGCAAATATGTTTTTTAAGTTCAGAACTCCGATGTGCTTAGAATATCTATACTGAAAAGGGTCGGAATGGTAGTATGCAATACATTTTGTTTTGATCAACTACTAGTATTAGTATTAGTATTATAATATATTTGTCAGTAGATATTTGACCTTTTAGAGTGAATTACTGTGTAGAACCATAGTTCTTTGGCATAAGGTGGATCAACTTGGTCATGGAAGCTAAAGGGACCTCACTGAGCTCTGTTGCAATCTGCTCTTAATGGGAAATCATTTCAAAGTGCGCGCTATTGAGGGAACTAATTCGATCCGAGGCTTATTCCAATTTATTCATCAGCTGACACTTATAAATAACCAATTTCCTCCTGCTACCAGAATTGGTGTCGATGGGCGAATGGGAACCCACACACGCGGATCACGCATGGGGAGTGCCAAACCGAGGCTGTTGCATAAATCAATGCCACAAAGACACACAGAGTTGAATTGTGTGCAGCGCCCGCGGCACTTGACCACTGACCACTGGTCCTATCCTCGTCCCCGCTGGCCGACGACCCGGCTACTCCGCTCCAGCAGCCAGGAAACCAAACTCCCAGCGAGATCCTCTGCCAAAGGTGTTAATATTCAATTAAAATTCTAGGCTCACCGGGCGAGTGGCTAATAAATTAGCGCTCAACAAGCGCGTTGCCAATTTCAATTTGTTTTCGTATCACTTCGAAGGGGGAATCGGATGGGGATGGGGAGATGTGGCTGGAGCTCGCCAATTTATTTATTAAGCTGCGCAGGTGGCTGGGATTGAGATTTGCTGCGAATTTGTTTGCATTGCTGACCCCGGAGGAGGGTCAGACACGCTGGGAATGGCGGTGGGCCTAATCAGATCAGATCGGAAATGGGAATGGAAATGGAGACTCCGGCTGCGATGGCTCCCATATCGCCCAGTCTCAATCACGACCCGTGCCCAGCTCACTGGGCTGCTCCGCATGGGATCTTGTAATCGATGTTGTAGCTGGAGAGGCTGCGCACTCCAAGGCGCGACATGCAGCCGCCCTAATGGAGGATCTGGAGGAGAACTCGTGGCTGCCATGGAGCGATATTTATCGCCTCGGATTGAGTTGGATCCACGGGTCGTACGGACTGGTGGCATTCCAGCTCCGATCGGAGGTGGCCACGGCATGGGGTCTTTTGGGAACCCAATCCTCGGGCCACGATCCCTGCGATGGATGAACGAGCTCGAGCCACAATTAGCTGTGATTGTTTCCAATCATAACATTAAAAGAACAGTAAAGTCCAGTTCTGTGCGCTACACAAAACCAAATCTTTGCTCACACACATCACTTAGTGATGAGCATGGCGCATCCAGTTTGAAGGGTATATGTGTTTCCTACACATTACACATATATTACACACCTGCAACTGCCGTTCAGCAGCGAGATTAACATGCTCATTACTCGTGGGCAGGCCCCTTGATCTTCCCCAGCGACGCCAGGAGGGGGAGTTCCATTAGAGACATTAAAATAATTTCAAAAGACATAAATTTTGAATTATGGCCACACAACGTGGCCACGATGCCCCAAACTATAAGATACATATCCATACATACTCGTGAATGTGGTTCGGGAAACGCGATTGCAGGAGTATTTTAAATCAAATTCGCTGGGGGAGTGCTGCGCTGTGTGCCAAGTGTTTTCACTATAATTACAGACAATTTCAGGCACTCACCGTCGTGCTTTCGGAGCCCCTCCCCCCCCTTGATGCACTGCAGCTCGCTGAGCTGGCCATTTAAATTGATTTACGAGTCATACCCTGATCGAGCGCATTTGTGGGGCGAGGGGGGCAGTTGGAGGGCACCGGGGCTGACTATATATTATATATATGCGGCCATAACTCACGATCGCCTTTGCGCCCAGTTGCTGCTAATTAAATTTGCATAGGGGCGCACTTATTTGCCGGTGGGCGTGGCTCTGGGGGACAGCTGCCGCTTGTAGTTCTTGATCCCAGTGATTCCCATCAGGTAGCCAGACATATGATGGCCGAACCCTCGTCAGCGAAGCTGAGGAAGTGCTCGAGATGGCCCAGTTCTGGGACAGCCCCTAACAAGGCCAAAAGGGTCAAGGGGTCAGTGGTTCGTTAGTCCTGGAAACAATGCCGTCTTTAATTGATTTAAGATGCCGGAGAGCCGACGCATTTGTCAGCGATCTTTGGCATGGCTTTAATTGCCTGGGAAATCCGTAACTCAATCAGTCCGGCATTGTACTGCACTAGTCGAGTTCTAATTGCAGACGTTCCGATACGTTCCGTCGGAAGCTAAACTCGTAGATACAAAACGGTAATTGGGTTCGAGCCAGCGGAACTGGGGAATAATAATGGAAGAGGCCAACTTTGACAGCATATTCCTGCGACTTTTCAAACGAAAGTGTCGATAGGCGGAACCACATTTGCCGAGGGACAGAGGATGCGAAGGAGTGGAGCAGGGAACCAACGGAACAGCCAGAGGAAGTGCCATAAAAATGCAATTTTAGATTCCATCAACTGATAAGAAAAGTTTTTAAATTAGCCGCCAAATGAGAATGCGAGGTTCGAAACTGTAAAGTGAGCAACAGACAGCCAAACTCTTTGATTAGAAAACGGAAAACAAGGACAACGAACGAGGAACCGCTTGGTGGCGGTGGGGCAGCGGAAAGCTGGCTAAAAGGCCTACAAATTGCCGTCGACACGCCACGAGACCGTTAGAAACTTTTGCATTTTCCGCTGCACTTGGACGACCACCCACCACGGCCCACCATTCCCCGAAAGTACCTGTGTGCCATGGGAATCCTCAAAGGGAAACGCACTCCACCGAAAGAAGAGAGCAAAAGTATCGGTTTCAGCTTATCAATTGCCTGCCATCGCCAGTGGGACAGATTAGGAGCAGTATCACAAGGAATGGAAATGGAATTGAAAATGGAAATGGAATTGAAAATGGAAATCCATTGGAATGGAAATGCAATGAGGCGCGTTATTTCGGCATTTCGAAATCTTAAAGCCCCGATCTTCGGTTCGAAGGGCAGAGACGCTGCTCAAGTAATTAACGCCCCTCAAGAGGAGCTGCATCCGCATCCTTCTTCGGGACCTAGAGGTCCAGTCCGAGCCTCAGTCTCGAGAATACAGTAGCTGGCCGACGGCGCCTTGAGGATTTGCCCAAATGTTAATGATGATCCGATCTCCGAGGGAATCCCCTGCCTTAGTGTGGGTGTGCTACTGCTGTTGCGTTCCATGGCAGCCCAGAAAACTCGATCTGGTGTGAAGATCGGGGCGGTTTTCAGTAGGTTTGTTTTCTGTTTGACCTGATAATCACCAATACGATATTAATTAGTGCATATTCCGTGTTTTAGTATGCCGTGGAGAAATGCGAACGATAATAAATGACACGAAATGAATGAATATGCATACATATGTATATCATGAAATATAATATATATTGGCAAAATTTTAATTTCTACTATATTGCATTGTATTAGCATTGAATTTTAGAATAGTTTTCCAATCCCTTATACAGCCTTTATTAAAGTTATATTATATAATCGTTCGGTTTCATTTAACTTCTTTAAGTGTACTTGTCCCAAGATATGACAAATTAAAGCCAAGTATGACCAATAGATTTATTACAGTCGCTGTATAAGGCGGGTATGTAAAGATCATATCTGTGTATTATCGCCATAGTCAGAAATGCGACTTTTTCCGCTCTACTTTGGTAAGTTCAAGTTGCTCGATTTCGAAACCCAATTTATACCCAAATGAATTCCCGATTCCTAGCTATAATCTTCCTATTTCAATATGAAGTTGGTGCAATATCGAATGAAATCAAATCCAAACTGAAAATCTGGTTTGGAACTTTAAAGCCCCTGCAAAATTCAATAACGCTTAACACTGTGAAAAAACTTTGCGTTGTGGAAGTGATTCGAGGCAGCAAGCATCCGATAAAAGTTGGAAATATTGACATATTGAATAAGAATACGTTGGAAAACTTTATAAAGCTGCCGAGCATTAAAATGCCGAACATTACAGTTGTCATCGTGGAAGATAAGTTGTCTAAGAAGGCAAGAAGCGCGAGTCGTTATAAAGAAAAGGAAATGGAAAAACTAATTGTAAAATTTAAGGAGTGTATAATTGAAAAGCTTAAGATACTAGCTTAGTTACGAGAAAAAATTCTTTTAAATGTCGTAAATATCAATTTAATACAAGTAAATTTACTGTACAATATTGTGTTTTTGATCTTTTTGTATCTTTTGTATTAAGAAAGGTTTTTAATTCTAAAGAATTAAATTATAAATTGATAACAAAAATGATCTAAAATTAAAAAAAAAAAGACAGTCGGGTTCCCCGGCTATCAGATACCTTTCTGGAGAATCGGTAAAAATTGCGAAACAAATTTAAAAATTAAAAAAAAAATATTACATTTTTAATTAATTTTTATAATTAATTTATAAATGTTTTGGCCGGTTTTTGGGCGGTAGAGTGGACGTGGCAAAAAATTATTGGCAATCTTATAGAAATATACAAGATATACATATAACAAAATGAAAGAATATCATGCTTAATCCCAACATTCTAGCTTTTGTAGTTCCTGAGATCGAGGCGTTCATACGGACAGACGGACATGGAAAGATCGACTCGGCTATTGATCCTGTTCAAGAATATATATACGGAAACGGAAAGGTTTCCTTCTGCCTGTTACATACTTTTCAAGGAATCTAACGGGTATAACAATAGAGAATGCTATAGTCCAGTTCCCGACTATCAGATACCCGTTACTCAGCTAGTGGAGTTGCGAACGAGAAATTTCAACATTTTCTGGAATATCGGTTGAAATTTGGGGAAAAAATAATAAAATAAATAAAAACTTTAACATTTTCCATTAGGGCGGTTTTTCAGCGTTAGAGTGGGCGTGGCATCACGTGAAAACAAACTTATGCTTCGTCTATGTCTGGAATCTTCATTCGGACTGACGGACGAAATGATTTCTTACTCTACGCGAAACAGGGATAAAGTTATTTAATATTTTATATTAACAATATCTATCAAAATGATGTAATCCCCACTTGATTTATGATTTGCTGACCCAACAAAGATTTCATAATGACTGACAAACAGGTCGACAGACAAAGAAGAAAGAAACAATCGCATTCATTTCGAAAAGACGTTTTATGAATGGTGTTTGGATATTCATTAGGGCATTTTGGGACGCCGACCCCAACAACTACAATTTTCAAAACTACAATTTTCTAAGTTTCCCTTCCATTTTCCCTAAGCCAATCCTTTTAATACACAATATGCAGTTCTAAAGAGCATTAAAGACGGAAAAGTTTTCATTGGACTATCGTGGCTGATATTCAATTAAACGGCTACATAGCCGTTCATAGTATAGGTTCTATTTTAAATTGGTAAATTTGAGAATTCGTTCAGTAAAGTTTCCAGCAAAGGAAGGTTTTGAACGTCAATAACAGAAATTTGAGAATGGTATGATTGTATGGTTGGAGTGCTGGCTTAAGGCGCAGCAAAGTTCTCAACCTAGATTTGGGAAATATATTTTGGCTACGGTAACTCTATTTTCGATAGAAATAAGTTTTCTCAGCAGTTTTGGTATTTTCGGCATTTCACACCAGTGCGGCCGCACTGAATCGTTAAAAAGTAAAAAGAGAAGCAACAGCCTGAGGTGTAAATAATGTAAGACAATGCAATATTGTAAAAGCGATCAGCAATTGGGATCAGTGTGCTCGAATCAAGTTCGATTGGAGCGGCGGAAAAGCGATTGGCATTTGGCAGTCCGCAACGCAGTTGTGGAAAACGCAGCACACCCACACACAGCCAGAGTGCACACACATATCGACTGACGATTTTCGTCTACGTTTCAATTCGATTTTCGGAAATTTCACCTTCGCGTTGCTGTTTTTCGGCTATTTCAAACTTGTTTTCAGCTGTGCGCGCCCCGCCCCCCGTCACCCGCCCCTTTCGTTCCGCTGGCAGCCGCTCACTTTTTAACTTGCTTACGTATTACGTTCGCGTGCCAATTCGCAGTGTAAACCGTGCATTACAAACGCAAAATCTCGCATAATTCCACGCACATTATTCGTCCGCCGACGTCCAGTTGTCCCGCGATCTCTTGTAATTGTCGTGTGGAAATCGTGAAACGCTAAAAATAATACGCATCGGTGGAAAGCCGTGAAAAGCGCAGGAAAACCCATCCAAATGTGTGTCAAAGAGCAGCAGCAGCAGGTGTAAATGCAGTGTTCTAAAGCGCTGCAATGCTGTACGTGTGTGTGTGTCGCAAACATATGGCAGCAAATAATATTAATCGCAGTTGATATTTTCGCCATACTCCGCAGATAGAAGATTTGTGCCTACGCCAAGCGGGAGTGGCAAAGTAGTAGTAGGGCCGCCAAGTGTACCAAGCAATCCAATCCAGAACCCTTTCCAATGACAAATGTAACAACCGAGACACACCAGCCGCCCTGAGGAAGCAGAAGAACGAGTTCCGAGGTCAACCCACCACCACCCCTCGAGTCGTTATCATTTCGTTTTCGTTTACTTTTTAACCCTCCGCTCGAGAACGTGGTTTCTTTTGCGACGTGCAATACTTTGTGGCAGAAGTCTTGCACCGTTCCAAAAGAGAACAGCACGTGGAGCGACGAGCACGGCCGTACAATACCCAAGTCCGTGGCCACCAAGCTGCAGCGTCTCAAGGCCAAGGCGTCTGCGAGCCAGCACTACGGCGGCACCTATCGCAAGTCCTCGTCCGCAGCGTCAGCGTCCATCGGCAGCCACAGCGAGGGCAGCGACAGGAGGTCATCCTCTGCGCTCCACGGCGGACACAGCCATCAACGCGGTGGCGCCGCCGAGGAGCCCCACCTTGCTTTGGCGGATGTGGCCGAGAAGTCATATCAAAGCAGCAGCAGCAGCAACTACAACAACAATTATCAAAAGTCAAACCACACCAGTGCCAATTACAACCACTCCAACTACATCAACCACCCACAAAGCGCCACCACCAACCTGCCTTATCAGCCCAACAGCAATACCAGCACGATGATGATGACCAAACAGAAGAATTCGCTGGCCGAGCGCCTCAACATCGGCGAGGAGGTGCGGGAACTAAAGCTGGGCGCCACCTTCAACCCGAAAAACACCTCGACCGCCTTTCACACTATCAAATGTAAGTGCTGTCCGCAGGGAGATCCCTGGGGATATCCAGATATCCAGGGGATTCCCATTTACCCCCGCCAGAACCCAAAACTCACCCACAAACGCCTCGTCTTGCAGATGACTTCAAGCCAGCGAGTGTGGACACCAGCCGCATGGCATCTGTGGACGTCGGCTCCAACAATCAAGTTACTGTTACCGTGCCAAATTCAGGTGAGTGCACTCGAAGGAGTTAAACAGCAAGACGCTGAATTTGAATTAGGTCTTTGTCCAAATAGATTTTTAACAACATAAAATATTTATCTTTAAACTGCAAGTCTTTAAATGTTTTACATTTTTAATTTGATGTGCACCTGCTTGGTTGTATGCAGCTGTTTAAAGTCAAGTAACAGACACCAGAATGCTTATCTCGCCCAGAAGCTGCTTAAACATGACTTTAAGCTATCAAGAACACGTGCTTCAGGTTCAGATACACTAACACACAGAAATATTTACATATCTATATTATTAATTCTCAAAATCAAATTGCCTAAATACCTTTATTAAGAACATTTTTTTTTAAAAGAGGCATAAATATCATTTTGTGTCCCTTTATAAAGAACCTTTAGATCAATCAGATAATGCAAAAAGTAATAGTTTTAAATTGGTGCAAAGTACAGTTTGGGTTTGCTCCGATAATGTTGATAAGGTTATCAATGAAAAAGAAAAGATGGACCTTAAATGCTAGAAATTCCTGAAAACTTGCACCCACAGTTTTGTTATAGCCTCTCGAACTCTGATAAAGTAGGTGTCTGTTTAGAGCTTATTTTACGTGATTATTAGGGCCTGCATCGTCTGTCTGATGACATAATGCACAATCCAGTACACGATACGAACCAGTTGCTGTGTCTATTCAAAGATACAAATTAATGGCTAGCCCTGTGCATTATTTGAGTCAAACCTAAGTCGCGACTGCTCGGAAAGGGGGAAAAGGCCAGCGCCGGAGGCGTAGCAAAAACACCAAATTACATCAAGTCAGGAAAAATGCAGCCAAGCGTTCAAGTCTTTCTCCTTGGCTCTCTATACTGGTATTATTTCGCTATGCTCTTTGTGGCCAGACATTGTCGTCGTCATCGTCTGTGGGCCGTCGACTGTGGTGGGGCTGATGCTTTGGGCCCCATTGCGCCGACTTGGCTTGTGTAATGCTCCGATGATTGCGAGCGCCGAGTCGCCAAAGAGTTTTAGCGTCGGTGGCGACAATAGCAGCGGAATTTGGTCAAGTGTGGTGCGTTCCAATCTCCACCGCCTCCCTGGTAATCGGACGGGTGCAGCCAAATGCGCACAATGATGAACTTGTTTTCAGGTTGATACTGGCCAATCAATTGAACACTTTTGGCGTGCTTCAATAACCATAGCAACTATAACCATATCGTTTACCCACAGCTACGGTAATTTTACCCGTTACTCGTTGAATAAAAAGTATGTAACAGGCGGAAGGAAACGTTTCCGACCATATTGCGCATATATATTCTTGATCAGGATCAATAGCCAAGTCGATCTGACCATGTCCGTCCGCTCGTCCGTATTAACGTCGAGATCTCAGGAACTATAAAAGCTAGAAAGTTGAGACTAAGCATGCAAATTCCAGTGACATAGACGCAGCGCAAGTTTGATGACCCGTGTTACCACGCCCACACACCGCCCAAAACTACCACGTCCACAATTTTGAAAAGGATTTAAAATTTTTTCATATTATTATTTGTCTGCCACGCCCACGCTTTTGAAACGTTTTTACCCCCTTACTCGTAGAGTAAAAGGGTATACAAGATTCGTTGAAAAGTATGCATCAGGCAGAAGGAAACGTATAAAGTATATATATTCTTGATCAGGAATAATAGCCGAATCGAACTGGCCATGCCCGCTCTTCTGTCCGTCCGTCCCTCTATCCATATGAACGCCTCGATCTCAGGAACTACAAAAGCTACGATGTTGAGATTAGGCATTCAGCTTCCTTAGACATAGGCGAAAAAACTAAAAACAGAGAGCATAAAACTGCTACGCCCACACTTTTTATTCCTGACCCACCTGTGATTCCTGACAAAATACGAGACAGTGCGATGAAATGAAAATTTATTGCAAAGTGTTTTTATAGATCGAAGAGCGGTTCCGCTTGCAAAGCTGGCTTTTAAAGCTTTCATTTGATTATTTTGGCATGAGAGCTAAGCCAGCATTGAATAGGTCACTTATATTGTCCGAGGACGCATTTCTCTGTTGACTCTCCCCGAAAATCTCCATTAGTGATCCCAGGTTAAATTTCATAGAAATGCCCTTCTTGATTTTGTTTGCAGTAGCATTCAGAAGTTTGCCTTTGACTTCCGTTAGAAGGGGCAATATGACCAAAGCACTGTACACCTGCAGGCAGACAACTGTGTTCCTAAATCAGTATGATCTCTGCTGAGGGCGAAAGATGCTCACCAACGATTAAAACTCCGATGCGCATTGTAAACTTCTTCCGCTGGCGACGCAGTCCACGTTAATAAAGTCTGTTGCAGGAGAAACCCGACCCCCTGCCAAGTTATATGGTCAGCATGATAATTGCTATTAACGGCCAGGCCGGACTGTGAATATCACGCTACTGCGGATGAACTGCAAGCGGGCAGAGCCGAGTTAGTGAAATGCTTTATGGAAGAGTGCAGATGCATCCTTGCTTAATACAAAAGTGGAATGCATTATCTATGCTAACTTTTCTGGAAGTTCTAGTCAGAAATTAGTCTGTATCCGTTTTTTACGTTTTTATTAGTTTCGTTAACATGCTTTCTAAAGGCTCTAGATCCACTTGTGATTTATTCAGCTTGGCCGATTATACCCGCCGATTGGATCTGCGGACTATGTCACGCATGGGACACGCTCCGAACCCGAAAATGGATCTGGTCTCCACGGGCTTATAAATCTTTGGGCAGTAGGGCTTTTGGCAATTCATGGGCGGGGGACAGTAGGGTGGTACGCAGCTTGCCATCCTGCCTTCTACGTTTCCGGGAATACACATGGGAGGAGTGCAGGGATTTGGACAGTAGGGTGGCCAGCAGGTCGGTGGGAGCTTACAGCCCGGTTCCTTGCAAGGTGGATAGCAATCCGGCGGAACGCATTTGGGATCGCAGTGTGGCGATCTGCACGCATAACAGTAGGGTGGATGACAAATCGTGGGGCAATGAGGCATGTAGCACCAGGGAAAGTAGGAGCCATCGGGGTACTCCAGACCGTCCGAAAGGGATGATGGGGGATTAAATGGTATTGCAGTTGTACCGGGTACAACTGTGGGTACCTGTGATGGAGACGGAGGAGGCGGTGGTGGTGGTGGTGGTGGCGGTGGCGGTTTCGGTCGGAATGAGGGTGGGGGATAGTATGGGGGAGGATTGGGACAGAGTTTCTTCACTTTGCTGACCAGTATGTTAAACAAGAAACACCGTCTGGAAGATGTTATATGTACCTCTTCAAGAGCTTGTCCCAGCGACGGAATCCACTCGGCCCCATATTTCTTTCCAGAATTAGCCTCCGCAATGGCATTTACGAGATCTGAGGTTAGTTTCTTCAGCTTGAGGTGATCCTGCGTCTTACTTAGATGCACCCGCAGAAGACCTGCAAAGTGTATGCTATAGTATTATCCCATGCCAAAAATGCTTAGTTCATCTGATTTAAAAACTAGGCTAAGTTTGCCCAGCTCTTGTAGAAATATGTCGGCCTAAAACCATTCTTATTCAAATTGGCTCCAAAAACTTACATATCATGAGCAGTAAAAGCCGAAACTTTTCGTTCATTTCGAGAGACTTGCCAAACTTAAACATTTTCCACTTACCTGGATACTTAAGTAAATTAGTTCGTTGCATATTTCTTAACAAGCAGACCCAAATTGAAATGATACGATTTAATTAAATAGGCATCACTCAATATCCGTGAGTATAATATATAACAATAGTACAATAGCATTGCGACAAGCAGCTTTGCCTAAAAAAACAGCATACAAAGTTTAAGTTTAGTCGGTTAAATGCTACTTTTAAAACAAACTCAAAGGCAAATTAAAGACTATCACTAAACAGATTGATGAACTATTTATATAAGCTCTAACATTCTAATAGGCAGTTCTTTTTCTGGAAAGGATGCATAGAAAACAGCTATCACTTTTAAGCAAACAATACACCAATCTATTTGGCACATAACAAAAAATGTTCCCACGAGAGATAAGGTGCATCTAACAGCAGTAGCTTTTTTATTCCTCTAAGGGTTCCAGAATGTTTATTTTCTTGCTTATGCAGTCTTTTAAAAGTACAATTATTGTATCTAGTTTCTTTTCTCTATTATGTTCTTGCGATCTGGCTGCTACAGGCAACTTATCATCTGGAATGATGTTTGTAATATTCGGAATTTTTATGGTCGGAAGGATTATGTAGTTTGTCACAGTATTCTTATTGATTATTGCCTATCTTTTCCCATTGAAACAGGTAGAGAATGGCTAACGAATTCGATTTTAGCGATAACAATTGGATTTTACCTTATATATTCCATGTCCCAAATCCATTAGTCAAACCTAACAATACCTGTGCGCAAAAGCGGCGAATTGCCTTAGCAAAAAAGCTTAATAGTGGAATCCTACAAGGGCGTAGCCATTTTACCATTTTACCAATGGGCATGAAGTACAATTATTCATGATCACCGTATGTCCTGTCCGTATGAACATCAAGATCTCGGCCACTTCAAGAGCTAGAAAGTTATTTGCCAAAGAGATTAGGTATTAGAGAAGTGACCGACATTCCTGAAGCAGTCTCGTATCTCAGAGACACCAGACTGTATAAATTATTTGCTTTTGTAAGTCCCTATATTCCTAAAAAAAAAAAAGCATTTCCTACAATATGGAATGTTCCCATTTTAATTGATTGAAAAACATTTTAACCTGTATGCGAAATTGAATTTAGAAAGTCCGGTTACACTTTAACTATATTAAGTTCTTTGATTTTCATGAGGACGCACTTCTTAACGTCCGAAGTCAATCCTTTCTTAGTGCTTTTTTTCAACTCCGATCTGGGGGCAGGTTTGGTATCTTTAGAAGCCTTTGGGCTAGGACGTTTGATAATTATGACCGGCTTGCTGTCCTTTGAATTTTGAGATTCCTTTTGGTATTTCGCCAGCGCCTCTTCGTCCTTCACGATGACAACCGTGATCGGTGGTAATTGAATTTCCGGCATGCTGATGTTGTTGGTGATCGTATTTAAATTACTGATGACTTGTTTGGCAACATCAACGTCAAAGCCGGAAGGTTTTTCGTTTCCTGTTTCTGATTTACAAAGCTTAACAAGTGTGTCTAGGAATTGCTTCTTATCGTCCTTATCGGGACTAGTATTGGAATTGGGGTTTGTGTTATCCGGTACTGGCTTAGCATTGCTGTTACCATTGATCATTTCATTCAGCTTTGAGAACTTATTCTCGAAGTGGTTATGGATGATACCAAACAAATCTAAAAATGGTTTCGTATTTGAAACGTGGGGCACGCAGAGCAGCACTATAATTGTCTCAAATAGAAATTATTGTTCTCGTAACTACTTTGAGAACTGCTAACTCACCCAAACATATCATGCAAAGCCGCATTGTGCGTTGTTAAAAGAGGACTGAAATATTTCCGTCCAGCGACAGAAGCAAATGGACGCAGTCTAGGTTTCGCGAAAAAGCCGCGAGTAATCCATTGGTGCCAGATTGCATATCAATTTGTGTGACTTATTCTTTAAATATAGTTCGAGGTTTGAGTTTATCGAACTCGCTACCAACAAACAAACCTAAGAAGCTCAAAATAAAAGCCATATATTGTACAGAAAGTAAACCAGTTTTTATACCCACTACTCGTAGGTATACTAGATTCGTTGACCAGTATGTAACAGGCAAAAGGAAAAGTACATATATATATTATATTCTTGTTCAGGATCAATAGCCGAGTCGATCTGGCCATGTCCGTAGGCATGACTCGATCTCAGGAACTACAAAAGCTAGAATGTTGAGATTAGGCACGCAGCTTCCAGGGACATAGACGCAGCGCAAGTTTGTTTCCAGATGTTGCCACGCCTACAAACCGCCCTAAACTGCCACGCCCACAATTTTGAAAAATGTGATATTTTCTCACTTTGTATTATGTTGTAAGTTTCTATAGATTTGCCAAAAAACGTTTTGCCACGCCCACAAACCGCCAAAAACTCTACCGTCCACACTTTTAAAAAAATTTTATTTTTCTTTTCGCCAATTTCTACCGATATTCCAGAAAAGTAACGGGTATCTGATAGTCGGGAAACTTGACTATAGCAGTCTATCTTATTTTTATTTAAGTTGCTTAATATTTTACTTAAATTGAATTATTTTTGAATATAAAATAAAACCACAAGGAAACTGGCTTAGGCAAGAAGAAGCTTGCAGTAATTTTATATTACAAAAAGAAAGGATACAAATATTTGATCAATAACAGAATTAAATTATTTACCGTTTGTTATTAGGGCAACTACTTAATATTGTCTGGATTACTTGGATCAATTTGAACTGAAATTATAGTATGTAAAACGATTATTATGTCAACTATAGTGTGTACCGAATTAGAACACATATGACCCATAAAAAGGAAAGAAAAATGTTTCCATATATTTTCCTATTATTCATTTGGGAGCTATTTCGTTATAATGGTCCGGTAGAACACTCTTGGAAAAGTTGCATGTAGATAGGATTAAAACAAAGAGTAGTTTGCGTAGAAACAGACATGTCCGTTGATACTGATACATTATTACTTTTATTTAACTTGCAGAAAGTTCCGGAGTGCCTCATACAGTTTATAAGGGTAATCAGAGAGAGTATGCAAAGGAGTGTTTGATGATCTACGACAAGGAGACGGGCGCCATCACAATAGAAAAGCTAAATCACAATATTCAAGTAAAGAAGACCAGGCAAGTGCATTAATCAAAGAGAATTCCCAGCAGCAAGCTTAAACGTACATTCCTGCAGGAACGAAGTTGCCAACAAGTCAGTTCAGCTGCCCGGTCAGAATGCTTCCGTGAATATGGGCCAGGGTCAGCTCCACAGTCAGGGGGCGAACGGATCGGTACCGGGACCAATATCAGCACCTGGGCACAGCACCGGAACAGCACCCAAAATGGAGAACAGCACTATGCGAATCTCAACCAAGACGAAGGTTTCTACCGGCAGCCGCAGGAATAATATTAGTAAGTAAAAAACCAATTTTATAATTGAGCTAACTTAAAACCTGGACACAGTAACTCAATAAGATTGAAGCGATTGCGCTAATTGTGCTGTATCTTAATATTTCCAGTTGACTTCAAGCCGCGAAATTCGCCTATGCAACAGAGCTCACCATCGCGTGCAGTGCCAGTCCACCGCAGCCCGCAATCTGCGCCGGCGTATGTGCCCTCTAGCATCCTTGACGACTTATGATTAATAAAATTACCTTTCAGTTGGGATGCGAACAATGCACAGCAGACGTTGCCCAGCATTCCCTTGATCACCGACGACGACGACTTTGGGTTGAGGGCGGCCCTGCACAACAGCGGACATGCGAATACATCAGGCTCATCAACCGGCTCCGCAACAGGTCAACCGGATTTCGGATCTACGTCCTCGTCATCTCACATGGGCAAGCAGCGGCAGGCTCCCCCGCACGGCCACGGAAAGCGCCAGCAGATGCAGCAGCGCCTAAGCCCACCAATGGCTCAGCAGCAGCAGCCATCGAACTATGGGCGTGGTTACAATGGCGGCCACAACCACGTACAACAGCAACAGCAGCGCAACTCGCCGCAGCAGCAGCGTCCTCCTGCTTATGGCCACGGCAATAGCATGCCCATGGACTTGGACTCGACCAGGGAGCATGAACTGACCTCGCAGTCCGTAGCGCAAGCGGCTGCTGCCTTGGAACAGGTGGGTGGTGATTTTGGTCAGGTATTGTGCCTTGCTAAGTTGGGGGTTTCCTTTCTTGCAGCAAATTGGCGGTGCACTGAGTGCATCGAGCTCAAGTTCGGAGTCGGATTCCAGCGACAGTGACAGCGGCAGCGACTCGGATGACAGCACTGAGGATGATCGCCCAACGCAAGGCCAGCAGCAGGATCACCAGCAGCAGCAGCAGCAGCAGGTGTATCAGAATCACAACCACCAACAACAGCAGATTGCACAGCAGCACCTTAATCAGCTGCCCAACCTGGGCCTGGGCTCCATATCACCAGCATATGGAAGCAATCATCAACATCAGCAGCAGATGGCGCCCCATCAACAGCAGCAGAAGCAACAGTCCGGCATTTATGCGTCCAATGGCGGCTTTCCAAACGATTTGCTACAAAACGATCTGCAGTTGTCGTCAAATTCGTCCGACGATGACGACGAGTAGCTATTTTAAGTTTGATCTTATTTGCCTTCTTTTGACTAAACCAACGACAACAAGAGCAACAACAATTATTGATATTCTGTCTATATGCGTGTAATTAATTTGTAATTATTGAGAGGTGATTTTACTTGCTAGTGAAATTTTTTTAAATAAATTCTTAGTTCTATACCACGATATCCACAAAAATATATTAATTAATTTTAACCATTAATTTTAGACCTTCCAAATGTGCTGGTAAACATTGAATTAAATCGAAAAAATATTAATCAAACATTGAATTAAATCGAAAAAAGATTAATCAAATCAATCAAAATCATAAACCACAATATAAACCTATATTTGTCAATACATATTCGTTTTTAATGCAAACAAATGATTAAGTAAAACTTGTTGGAACACTATTAGGAGATCAAACGCAAATAAAACCAACAATATTGCAATAAAAAAATAACCAAGAGATAAAACGACGATGTAGACGATACAACTGAGGAAATTATTTAGTTTTTAATAAGAATGCTGCAAATCAAGAAAATAATTTTAAGTTTTCCAGAAAAGAGTAACCACTTGGTTTTTTTGCCATTAATTACGCATTTTAAATTAAGCCTAAAATTCTTATCAATATATTCAGATACCAAAAGCGCAAAGAAACATATTTCAAATGATATTTTCAAGTGTTATTTTGTTTCCCTTTACTTCGCTCATCTTTGTAGTCAAGCTTACTTTTATCGTTGCCGACTTAGTTAATTTAATTAAAAAGTAAAGCTATCTGACCTTTCGTTTTTGATTAATTTGTTAGCTATATTTATTACGAATGTATTTTTCAGCCCCTTCTCTTCATTAGTCCCATAATTGTGCGGAATAGACATTTGTGTTTTTAGCTCATGTTTTATTTGAATTTATTTGTAGTTTTTTAATTAATTTTTAATATATATTATTACGATTTTGTTATGAGCTTGCAATAGTTAAAAGCAACGAAAGAAAATAAATGTGAAACGAAATAACCGGCCTGGTGAAAGCCATTTTTGTTTGTACTTCCCCCAGAATGTCCATAGAATTTGTTACACTGGTGAGCAGTAGTACTCTTCTCACTCAAAACACAACTCCTTCCAGATGTAAGCGTGCACGAAGTCCAGATACACACTTACTGAGATAAACACTATTTGATTTGCCAAGCCAACAATGAATTGTATTTATGAAGTACCATCCACGAGAGAAACGACCAATTACTGAGGAAAAGCGAAATGATGATAATACCAATTAGTTTTTGTACATGCAAATGCGCCTAGGATTAAATGGTATTTGGTCTATGGGGAGTATTTGAGACATTCATTACCAACACCAACAACAAATTATAAGCAAATCAACAGCAACTAAACGACAACAAAATGATTCAGATAATCATAAGCACAATATACATATGCAAAGAATCTAGATCTAATTATGTAACTAATTCTGTATAGAGTCCGAGAATGCCTAAGACCACAATGAAATCCAGCAAGTAAAATAGTCTAATTGGTAAGCAAATATATATATATGTATATTATATACAAACATGCATGTAAACGACTTTATACACAAAACATATAAGAATATTACCTTCCGTTAAATTAGTTATAATACCGACCATTAAACAGTCAACAATCAATTACAAATATTTATTGGTGCGTTTAATATGATTTTTGGGAATGAAAACCAGCCAAACCAATACTTTTAGCTGTCCGACATAAATTCAGGATAATCGGTTTCACTACCTTTAAACATTTTTCACAGTTTTAAACCAAGCTCGATATTTCAGCAATACTAGAATAAGTTACTTTAAAAATTAATATTTTTTCTAATTTTCTTAATTTTACTTTTCTTAGTTCTTGGTTATACCAAAAGACACTAGAATATTCTAGTTATTCTAGAGTCCTTGGTTATACCCTTGATACCCCCGATATTGATTTCAGTCAGAATTGCATTACAGTTCATGAGACAAGTGCGACTATTATAATGTATACTCCAACAGTGGAGTTGATATAGCCGAATCCGTTTGTCCATTCGTCCGTTTCTACGCAAACTATTCTCTTAGTTTAAAAGCTATCTGGGTAAAATCCAAATCTTCTAAACTTATTTATTGCAGTATATGTATAAATAAGTCCACTATAGTCCACGTTGCCATAGGAATAATCGGAAACAAAAAAAAGCAAATGCACCTTCGTTATTTTGTATCATTAAGGGTTTCAATTTGTTAGTTATTTTTTTTAAATATATTATTTCGGGCTTAAGTC